AGGCGTGAGGTTAACTGCTCCTTTACTGTACTTGTCTTTGGAACCAGTATTTAGGACTCAAAACAAATAACCCCCCCAAAAATAAATTTAGAATAGAAAATGAATTTGAGCTTTGAGGGCGAATTTTCCTTCCTGTTTTTGTGAAATGTACATCCAAGATAATAAAAATGACTCCCAGGAAAGGAAAAACCATGGACTCCACTGCCTCGTTTGTCCCAGATAATGGAGAGGACTGGAGTGAGTGCTGTACGGGGCGCCCAGACCCAGATCCAGCCGAACAAGCAAGCGCTGCTCACAGCCGACCTGCAACTCCACAGGAGAGCTTCACTGTTCTCTCTCACTGTGGCCAGACCCCTCTTTCTCCTCCTACTGCCCATTACTCTGCTCTCCTCGGGACCCCAGACACTTAGCCAACTATCTCATTGCACAGAATAAAGACTACCTTTCTCGTCTCACTAGGAGGGGTGTGGACACATGGGCAAACCCCAGCCAATGGATGAAGGCATAAATGGGTTCTTAAGCCAAAGTGTCCTTTTTCTTACCATTCTTGCTTTTCTGATGGCATAGAATATGCATGTGATGGTAGGAGCTGGAGCAGCCACACTAGATGTTGGAGCAAAAAATACATAAGAATGTGGAGAAACAAGAGAAAAAGGGAGTGAGGTCCCTGGCTGTTGTGGAGCCACCCACAGCACCATGGACTGCCAACATGGATTTTCACAAAAGAGAGGGGAGGGAAATCAATACGTTGGATTTTCAGTTACATTGAGCTGAACCTGATCCTAACAAATAAAGATACTTTGAGAAAATCAGGCCAAAATAAGATGGACTTTTTTCTGTAGTTACTGTGCTCATTTGTCATTTCACCTCCTTTTTTTTTTTTTGACAGGCAGAGTGGACAGTGAGAGAGAGAAGAGAAAGGTCTTCCTTCCATTGGTTCACCCCCCAAATGACCGCTGCAGCCGGCGCACCGCGCTGATCCGAAGCCAGGAGCCAGGTGCTTCCTCCTGGTCTCCCATGGGGTGCAGGGTCCAAGGACTTGGGCCATCCTCCACTGCACTCCCTGGCCACAGCAGAGAGCTGGCCTGGAAGAGGGGCAACCGGGACAGAACCGGCGCCCCAACCAGGACTAGAACCCAGGATGCCAGCACCGCAGGTGGAGGATTAGCCTATTGAGCTGCAGTGCCGGCCCCACCCTTTTAAACACCAATCAACAATTATGGAATGTTGTCTGAAGGACATTGCTGAGTGGCCTGGTTTTAAGTTGGCTTAAGAACAGAGCTGGAACTTAAGTACACCATCAGGTTAATTGCTAAAGAATTCTACATGAACACTGCTCTGGCCCTGCTGTATAAATGCCACGGTAGCCACAGCTGTTACTACTTCTATGTCTTCCCTAGGAGTGGAGGCTGTGTTTATTCTGAGTCTCTATGATTTAAGAACACAAGGTCAAAAATCCCACTTGTTCATTCAAACTTGATGTCTGATGCAAAGTACACAGAACCCCTGCACTCGTGGCCATGGTGTTGAGGACACTCCGCACCTGCTCCCTCTGTGTGTTCTGATTAATCACCACCATTCTGCTCCTGGGGTTCAGGAGCCCTTTCCCTGGAGTCCCTACACAGTGGCACAGATTCCCAGGAGGAAGCAGAGCGTTCACGTTGCCACCTGTTCATCCTGGCCTCAGGAGGGAAGTGGGGGGAGGCGTCCACTAGCCAAAGGATTTCTCTCCACTGCAGGCTGCATTCCGGGGTGCGCAATGGAGTGGGGGACACTGCCTAGCATCCTGTGTCCTCAGCTGGCTGCACAAGGGACTGAGAGCAGCTCGGGCCCAGGGCCCCCAGCTCTTTCAGGGGAGCAGCAGGACCCGTTTCAGTGTGATCGCCAAGTACAGTCTAGCTTGAGAGGGCTCTGTACAAACAGGGGCCTGGCAAGCCAATGCCATCAAGAGTGACAAGGAGGAGCTACACGGCGCAACGAGAATGGCCCATCAGGGATGGGGGCTTCCAGAATAAAAATAAACAACCAGTTTTTTTTTTTTTTTAAAGATTGCCAAAAATCCACTACTCACTTAGTTTTCAAACTAGCCACTGACTTGACTGCAGGTTGTCATATAATAATCAGGTGGCACAAGCCAGCCTTACATTCAAAGCCTACAAGCCATGCTTTATCTACTTTGCTTTATCTAGTGACTGAAGGAAGGAAAAACTTCTTTACAAAGTGGCATTTGCCTGGAAGATCCCAAGGCCCCACAATCCAGGGATCCTTTACCAACATCCCATAGTTTACCATCACACCTAGCAAAGCGCCCTAGGTGAATGCTAAAGACTGCAAACAAACCTACAGTAAAAACGTGCATGATGTCCTAGAGCCTCACGGTCCTGAGATGTGTTCTAAGGTTTCACTAAGGCCTGGATGAGTTACTCTAAACACTGTCAGTGCATATGTCTCATTGCACACTCACTGGAAGTCAGAACCTAGGAGAGCCTCCACTAGGAAGGGCAGAAGCGGGGCTGGCGCTGTGGTGCAGCAGCTTAAGCCACTGTCTGCAATGCCAGCATCCCATATGGGTGCTGTTTGGGGTCCCAGATAATCTGCTTCTAAGCCAGCTCCTTGTTAATGCACTGGGGAAAGCGGCAGAAGATGGCTCAAGTCTTTGGGCTCCTGCACCCATGTGGGAGACCTGGAAAAAGCTCCTGGCTTTGCTCTGGCCTAGTCCTGGCCGTTAGAGCCATTTGGGGAGTGAAGCAGTGGATGGAAGATCCTTCTGTCTCTGTATCTCCTCCAAATAAATAAATAAATCCTTAAAAAAAAAAAAAGTGTAGAAGCAGTTGGTACAGTTTAGGCGAGGCTTGAGATCCTACACCCCATGTAAGAGTGCCTGGTTTGAGTTCCAGCTTCTCTATTTGTGACCCAGCTTCCTGCTCACACACACCCCGGGAGGCACAGGTGATGGCTCAGGCACTTGGGTCCCTGCCACTCATCTGAAAGAGCCAGATTCGGGGCTGGCACTGAGGTGTAGTGGGTAAAGCCAGACCCAGCAATGCCTGCATCCCAGAGGCACAGATTCTTCTCCTGGCTGCTCCACTTCTGATCCAGCTCCCCACTGATGGCCTGGGAAAAGCAGCAGAGGATGGCCCAAGTGAATGGGCCCTTGGCACCCATGTGGGAGACCCTGAAGAAGCTCTTAGCCCAGCCCAGCCCTGGCTGTTGTGAGCATTTGGGGAATGAATCAGTGAATGGAAGATCTCTCTTTGAAAATTTGAAAAATTTGAAAAACAAGAGTAACTTATATCTTCTCCCATTGAATTGGAGGGGTGAGATTGAGACTGTGAGTGCCTCAAGAGAAAGAGTATGGTAAAAGGGAGGCTGAGTGAATTATAAAGCTAGGCCATTCAAAGCAAGATAGCTTTTGCTTGTGTTGCACGCCCTTGGAACCTGGCCACCATGCTCCAAGGAAACCCATGCCATATCCCTGGTTCTCGGGTCTGGCTGAGGTCCCAGCTGACAGTCAACAACAACCTGCAAGTCACATAAGTAGATGCTTTCTTGGAAGCTGATCTGCCAGCCTTAAGCAGAGCTACGGGCTGGCACTTCGTGGAGTCCTGCCCAAATCACAGATGTCCAAGCAAAGCACTCATGATGGTTATCACTGTAAGATATGAGGTTCTGCAGTGGCTTGTTATATGGCATCAGACAATGGAAATGAACTTGGTCCAGCCAGGCAGCAGTCATGACCAGTGTTACTGCCTGCGTGTGTACAACAAAATGTGTATCAATTAATTAATTAACTCAGTAAGTGCCAATTAGCTGAAAGAACATCCTGAGGATGAGACTGGAGCACACGTTAAAGAACGTACTGCACCACCGACACGCTTTGTGTACGAGGGACATTATTGTAAGGGAAAACCTGAACACCGATGACTCAGATTGCAAAAAGTGATTTGGAACGATCAGACTCAATATGAAGAAATTCGAGGAGGATCATGCCAAGTTCATTCTGTATATTTCCCTAAGGAGGGCACTACAGTGGTACATAGTGAAAAAGTTAATGTCTAAATATATCCAAAAGAACATTCAATTGAGGGAAAACAAAGAGATAAGAAAACACCAGGTCATCATTTCACGAGCAGGATTCTTCCTCCTCAGTGGTAGCAGATAATCTTACAACCAGTGTCATCTGAGATCTAATGAAACACAGGTACTGGGGCCAGCGCCATGGTGCACTAGGTTAATCCTCCGCCCGCAGCACCAGCATCCCATATGGGCACCAGTTCTAGTCCCGGTTGCTCCTCTTCCAGTCCAGCTCTCTGCTGTGGCCTGGGAGGGTGGTAGAGGATGCTCAGGTGCTTGGGCCCCTGCATCTGCATGGGAGACTGGAGAGGGGGACGCCTGGCTCCTGGCTTCAGATCGGCGCAGCTCTGGCCATTGCGGCCATTTGGGGAGTGGGCCAGCAGACCTTTCTCTCTGTCTCTCTCTCACTGTCTGTAACTCTGTCAAATAAATAAATAAAATCTTTAAAAAAAAAAAAAAGAAATATAGGTACTTATCCTTTTTGACTTAAAACTCTATTTACACTACCAAATTAAAGTGATCTAAGAGGGATTTTCACAAATTTTCCAAGTTTTCATTGAAAACTAAAAACAAACAAACAAACAAACAAAAAAACCCAGCAGCGATATGGTTTTTTGTAAGTTCACATTAATTTTTACTTTTATGATAAGAGAGCAGCATTGTTTTATAAAATATTTGGGGAACTGATGCTCATCTTCTGAACTGAACAGTCCAAACAAATGACTCTCCCCGAACCCCTGACATAACCAAAACTTTCCATGTGACAAATGTTCTAGGTGGCTCTGTCCTCTTGAATGCAGGTGGGGAAGAGGAAATTTCAGAAGTGTGATAAACTCTGTGCTTCAGGGGCTTAGCTAGTAAGCATACAATGATCATTAAAAAAAAAAGTGAATGAAGAAGTTCTCATTAAACACTTATAAAGCAAATAAAAGTGATGATATTGACTTTATTAACAATATTAACAGAACTAAAGCTTCCATAGCTTTCAGAAACACAAGTTTATAGTCATCGAATATATTAAAAAAGATTGGCCAAAAATAGGCCTACAAAACTCCCATAATCTTGAACATCTCACCTTCATATGCAGTAATCAATAACCAAAACTGCTACTGACTTCACTCCTGTATTGCAGGTAATAGACAGGCCTTTGTAAATCACTGTTTCATTTCGAGTTATACTGTTGGACACAGCCTGACAGTTCCACTTTGGTATTTTATAAAATAAAGCTCGCTGACACTAAAATCTCTTACAATGTAGTAATGGAGGTTAACTCACAGTTTTTTCCCAAGGCAAACTACTCGAAACCAAATGCAGTGATTCCTAGCATCACGTTATCAACACTGAAACACACCGCCAGTGTGAGGATAAAATGTGGAACACAGAGTAAACCTGAAACATGTTGAAATATTGACAACTACTGACTTTGTATTGGAAATGGAGATGGGGTTAAGACCTGGTCCTGGGGTTCCCATACACGACAGCAAGCCAGCGTGTGGCACGCTCACGAGCACACCCAGGGTCAGGCTGGGGCTGGCCTGGAGGTTTGCCTCTGGGGCCTTTGTTCATGAGCCAAATCCAAATCTGGTCAATGCAGGTCAGGGGAGCCCAGCATTAAGATCCACATCTTAAACTCCATGTACGTCCCTCCGGAAGGTTTCAAGTCCGAAGTCTTCAGATCAGAGTGTGTGGAGTTTTGTAACAATCAGTACTCTCACCACTTGGTCAAATGAACTACAGACGCAGAGGCCTCTTTTATCCGGACTCCAATCCAGACTGGAAATGGGCTGGGTCGATAACGTCACATTCTGCAGGAGGCTGACGGAGCCCGCAACTCCCATGTCTACTCCCTCAGAATCTTTCTTTGACCGTCGAACAGGGTATTCACTGAAAACAAGATTGAAGCGGTCAGGAGAGATCAATCCTCGCATTCACCATTCCAGTTTGACACATACACTTCAATGACACTATTTTGATTCCTAAGTTGGTTACTGTAACTAATAATCTTTATACTGTTGAGTTGTATGCAAATAAAAAGACACTATTCCATCCTCAACCCAAGCCCCAAAACATCTCACAAAGAAGGGTTAGTTTTACTAAAATCCTCTAGATATTGCTTTTATTCAACATACACCTGTATTTCCTGCATTTTCTCTTTTTAATATGAAAATATTAAAGAATGTGAGGTTGATCTAGCATTCTTTAACAAATGTACCTGGTGCTGTTAATAACCTTTCATTGTAATTCTTCTCTAAATTTGGATTGCTATTCAGCACAGGCAAACAATATATGCAAAACGAAAGCTGTGGTAACATCCACGGAACCTCATCTGATCAGAATGGAAACTGACAGTGGAGCTCCACCTTACAGATCCAAACCTGAGGACCTTCTGTGTACCATTTATGTGGGAAGCTGCTGCTCGGTGTAGATTTTAGACTTTTTAAACATCATTGCTTCAAAGAAGGAACAAACGATTCTGAGAACATTGGCTTATTTTTTTCAGCTGAAGATATAAATGTATAAAGTAAGAAGAGCTGAAATGTAACAACTCATTGACATGACCTGGTCTGACCAATCTGAGAGGGGAGACAGAAAAAACAGCCCTCTTTTTAAGAGGCGTGGGATACAGAAGGAGCTGGTGGGATATGGAGGGACCCCTCCTCAGAAGGCCTTTCCAAGCTCCTACGCATCCATTATGACACCTCCTTCACACCAAAATGCTCGTAAAGGACAAGAGTTTAAGAGGCACAAAGCAAGCAAGGAGAGCAAAAATGGTAAGAGAAGCAATAGGCAGATAACTTAGTATTAGATAATCTTGCCCTCTTAGAGCCTGCAAATTATTTTGATTGAAAGAATAAATAGTCTACCTACAGATGTTTTTCGGATACCTCCTGGTAAAGCCTGTAGCTATTTAGTCTTTAAAAGATAACATAAAGACTTTTTAAAAATCTCTCATGTTTTCTATTAGCTTAAAGGTGTGTGTGTGTGTGTGCATCTGTGTTTCAAATACTCAAAAGAATCAGCATATTGGGGATCATTCAAAGAAACAAATGCTGAATAACTAGATGAGCTCTTCTAGGAATTCTTAAAGCCCTCAATAGAGGGGGCAGTGCTGTGGCGTAGCGGTAAAGCTGACCCCAGCAACGTGGACATCCCATATAGGTGCTAGTTCGAGTCTCGGCTGTCCTACTTCCAATCCAGGTCCCAGCTAATGGACTGGGAAAGCAGCAGAGGGTGGTCCAAGTGCTTGGGCCCCTGCACCTACATGGGAGACCCAGAAGAAGTTTCTGATTCCTGGCTTGGGTCAGCCTGGGCCAGCTCTGGCCATTGTGGCCATTTGGAGAGTGAACCAGAGGATCTCTCTCTCTCTCTCCCTCTCTCTGACTCTGTAACTCTGACTTTCAAAAAATAAAATAAATTTTTTTTAAAAAAGTGCTTAATAAATATTTATAATTTAATTGTATAAGCACCAAGGCAGACCAGTATATGGAAACAAAGCTAAGTATTTTTTTCTTAAACCAATTCTCTTTACTGGCCCAACCCTTGTCAGCAAAGCTCCAAACCAATGTGAAGATTAGACTAGCCATTCATCACAGGAAGGACTAAAGTTCACGTTGAGATAAATGTCTCATTTCTAATTTCACACAGAGCCAGCTTTACTGAGATCACAAAATCCATTATTCTGCTTGAAAATGTGTTCCTGTGTGGGTTACAAAGCAAACTGGAACCTGTTCTTCAAGTACTCAGCCTGGAGACTGTAAAGCAGTGGCATGCCGCTGCACGCTGCACAGGTCACCTAGAGGCACTGGCGGAGCCTGGCAGGGGCGGGGGAAGCATGGACTCATTAGGGAAGCTTGGGGGCAAAGCGCCTGGAAAAGGGGAATTCACACACGGCCTGCGTGCCTGGCCCAGTCTCCGAACACTTCTTTCTTTCTTGCCCACGGAAACCTCCTCATTCTGATCTAAAGCAGGCACTCCCAGTGTTTTGAGTCGGTTGGATCCCTACATACTTTAACAAGGTCTTTCCGAGAGTGTTTCAGAACCTCTCCTAGCTTCAAAAGGAGCTAACAGATAGAGAAGGATTCTGTAAATGTAAAAACCCCAGATATAGTAAGGCTGGTAGCTTTCTTCTTACATCATTAGCCAAACGTTATTTTTGAAAACTCCTTCGTTTATCGGCTTCTGTGTTTGTTTTTCCTGAGTGATTTTAGAGAAAGATTTCAGTTTTTTCCCCCTTCCAACTATATATTGTTTCATTAATAAAAGTATTCAGAAATACCATTCACGTTCCAATTTTTATTAAGTCTTTAAAACTAGCAGCTGACCTAGTACCTACCACGTGAGGGCCCTCAGTATTCAGGGCACAGGGTATGGGAACAGCCCTGAAGCAGAAAGCAAACCCTGTGAGAGGTTGGTCCTGGAGATGCTTTGCTTCTATGACAATGATGTTACCTGAATTTAGCCAGGGGAATGATCAGGATTGGAAGCTAAGTGTTCCCATCCCTTGCCTATCTTCTTAGGGTAACGCTCTAATAACTAGAAGACAATATTTGACAAAAGTCTTTGTTCAGATTTGTCACATTCTCAAAAATTATGATTTCAAAATCTATGAAAAGAACTGCTTCTTGTTCTGCAATAAAGACACAAAGTAATGACAAATATATTTGGTGTGTCAAAAGAAGGTGAATATTTACTAAGTATGAAATAAAGACTGAGTAAAGGGGAAAAAAAGCTTACAAAACAATAGTTATGTAACATCATGGAATTTAAAATCATACCAAAACGAAGAAAGGCACAGGAGGAAACAAGACAAAAAGGTTCAATCGAATCCCACTTCACACCCACAAGGAACCGCAAAGGGAGCAAGGCCCCAGGCAGACACTCACTATTTCCAGAGGTGAAGGCTGCCCGCGCCCCCGGCTGTCAGGAAGAGCTCCCTGTTCTGCGGCAGGTGTCGGACCTGCCACACCGTAGACTTGTGGGCCTAAACAGGATGAGAGGGACACATTGGTTTATATGCTGAATGGTGCCTTCAAAGAGAGGCCCTGGGAATAAAGCATTTTTACTACTACACCTTTGGCTGCTATAGAAATAAGTAAGCCTTTTTTTTTTTTTTTTTTTTCTGGGTAGTCTCTTTATAATGGCTACACAGATTTATAGGGGCCCATCAGAAACTAGAAAGAGCACCATTTTTCTTTATTGCTTTACGAAACAAAGTGCTGCTTGATTAAAACAAAAGAAAGATAAAAGTCCGTTGAAGTTTACAGTACCATATAAATTATGAAGGTAGATTTTATACCTTTAAATATCTCCAGCTCAGATTGAGGGAAAAAATACTCAAACTACAAAAATTTCTTAAGGAAAAAATGAAGACTGGATCTTTTAAACTTTTATATTTATCTTCATTTTTTTGAAGGGCAGATGGTGGGGAGGGGGCAGGAAGAGACAGATAAAGAGACAGACACGGTGACGACTGACTGAACACCGAGAGGGAAACCTGTTGGAGTGAGGTGGACACTATGGGAAACGGTGGCTTGATCAGCATAGCCCTGACTGTTAATGAACAACTAAATACATTATCCCTCTTAGTAGTTTTTTTTATCTGTTCTACTTAATATGACTGGTTTAGATCTGTAATTGATGCACAGTTATTCTTAAGTGTTGAAAATTAACTGAAATGTGAATCCTGTTGAACATGGTGGTGGGAATGGGAGAGGGAAGAGATGTATAATTTGGGACATGCTCAGGCTGACTTGCCCCAAGTGGTGGAGTTGGAAGCATACCAGGGGATTCCAATTCAATCCCATCGAAGTGGCATGTACCAATGCCATCTCACTGTTCCAGGTGATCAGTTTCAATTCACAGTTGGTCATGGTGAAGGGACTGGGAGTCAAAGGGAGCACATAGACAAGTCTAGTACCTGCTAACGCTAACTGATGGAGTAAATAAAGGGGAGAGTGATCCAACATGGGAAGTGAGATACTCAGCAGACTCATAGAATGGCAGATGTCCTAAATAGCACTCTGGCCTCAGAATCAGCCCTAAAGGCATTCGGAGCTGGCTGAAAAGCTCATGAGAGTATTTCAGGCATGGAAAGCCAAGACACTCTGGCAAAAGATCTCTGCGAGTGAGATCCCAGTGGAAAGAACAGGTCATCAAAGAAGGAGGTACCTTTCTCTGAAGGGAGGAGAGAACCTCCACTTTGACTATGACCTTGTCTAAACAAGATAAGAGTCGGAGAACTCAGAGGGCTTCCATAGCCTTGGAAACTCATGACTGGAGCATAGGGAGATTACTGATGCCATAGACAGGAGTGTCAATTGGTAAAGTCAACAACAGGAGTCACTGTGCACTTACTCCTCATGTAGGATCTCTATCCTTAATGTGCTGTACATTGAGATTTAATGCTATAACGAGTACTCAAACAATATATTTCACTTTGTGTTTCTATGGGGGTGCAAACTGTTGAAATCCTTACTTAATGCATACTAAACTGATCTTCTGTAAAAAAAAAAAAAAAAAAAAAGAAATTATCAATTCCCAACTTGACTCTCACTGGGATTAAACATGACAATAGGTCTGATCTGATTTCATCATCATTTAAAAAAATCATCTATTATTTTTCACTTTATGTTTCTGTGTGGGAGCAAACTGTTGAAATCCATACTTAATGTATACTAAGCTGATCTTCTGTATATTAAGATAATTGAAAATGAATCTTGATGTGAATGGAAGGGGAGAGGGAGTGGGAAAGGGGAGGGTTGTGGGTGGGAGGGACGGTATGGGGGGGAAGCCATTGTAATCCATAAGTCGTACTTTGGAAATTTATATGCATTAAATAAAAGTTTAAAAAAAAAAAAAAAAAAAAAAAAGAGACAGACAAAGAGAGGGAAAACAGACCTAAACACTGGTTCACTCCCCAAATGCCTCCAAGAGCCTGGGCTGGACCAGGCCAAAGCCAGGAGCCTGGAAATCAGCCTGGTTCTCCCACGTAGGTGGAAGGGACCCAAGTACTGGAGCCACCACCTGCTGCTTCCCAGGGTTGACGTCAGCAGGAAAACGGATCAGAATGGGGGAAGAGGGTCTGGGATAAAAATCCTGGTACTCCAATATGGGATGCAGGCATCTTAATCACTGCGCCAAATGCCTATCTGAATTTTAATTCCTGCAAGTCTTTAGTTTCACGGCAGAACTGCGTGGAGAACATACAACATTCCCAGTTACAGGCTGAATTTTACCTTGGAGGTCCCAGAACAATATTTTCACTGTATTAGCATTTGCTTGTCTGGTCTTCAAGATAAGGGACACAATGACTAAAGACACTGTTTACAGTCATAATAAGTCAATGCCTTTAGCGGTCACATTAAACTAAAAGATTAAAAAACAGCAAGGTTAGCACTTTGTCAGCACCTCAACAGTAGCCCAGTAAATCCATCCTAGCAATGCCATATTCACCATGGAGGAACTTGAAAAAAAGACAGAGGGAGGAAGAGAAAGAAAGAAGAAGAAAGGAAGGAGGGGAATGAGTAAATGACTTCTATTTTATACAAGCAGTGAGGCTGGCTGACTTGATCTAAGCCACACTTGCACACTTCACATCTTAGTGATCAGCCTTGACACTTGATCTTAAGTCTTTCTAGAGAACTTCCATTAGCAGATAAAAACACATACTTCAAAAAACACACTTTACGTGCATGAGAATTCCCAAGTGATTCCACTTAAGCTATTGAAACTTATTTTGTCTTTTCTTTAACTTCTCTTTTTCTTCTGGAAATTGAGAAAAACACTAAAAGCAAGTAGGGAAATGACCTCTTAACATATATGAGAGTCACTTATACGACAGATTTAGCAATTACTGGATTAACTAAAAATAACAATCAAATTTTCGAGAGGTTACTATTACAGATAATGTGCTGCAAATTATATATGGAATACAACTTAGTAAAGTCCTGTATATTGGTGCTAGATAGTTAATATATTCTGCAATGACAAAGGCAAAAAATTATAATTTATAGCTACTTGTTAAGAATTCAGTTCATCAGGCAATGATGGTAATTTATACACAATAATAAGATAAAATAGGAAGATCTGAGACATCCTAATGAATCCATGGAGGCAGGAGAGGGAGAAGGAAGGAAAGTCTCACTTCTTAAGCAACTGATTTTTTTTCTTGACATGAAACTACCAATCTCTAACTGATCTTTTACTTATATGTGTGGCTCGAGTCGCAGTTCCAGCCCACCTCTTGCGAATGACAGGACATTTCAGCATCGATCTTATGTAATCCTTCACTGTTTTCTTGTTTTTTGTTTTTTTTTTTTTAACTTTTATTTAATGAATATAAATTTCCAAAGTACAGCTTATGGATTACAATGGCTTCCCCCCCATAATGTTTTCTTGGTTTTTAACTAGTATTTTCCTGTAGTCAGGTTTTCCTCATCTGTTTTCCAATGCTGCAATGCCAGGTTTCCCTGTAAACTACCTCGACTACTATTTAAAACAAAGCAATGTTAGAAATAAATAAGCATTTATGAACACCTGCTATGTATCAATTACAGAAATGAGCTCTGTAAATAATTTCATGTAAACAGCAAAAAACATTAAAAAATAAAATGTGATGAAATAGCATAATGTATATATACTGATCTATTTTGAAAAATACAGAATTAGGTATCAGAACAAACACGTATTTATCAGAAAACATCAGGTTGGGTTTTGGCGATCCAATTTTTCACCTTAGCTAGTTTTTTTTTTTTTTTTTTTTTTTTGTAATTGCTGCTATACTGCAAAATCAGATTCCTAGCTAACTAAGATCTTTATTCAAGAAGTCTAAAGTTGATAAACTTTGGGAAAGTACTCTTTGCACAGAAAACTTGTCAAGATCCCACAAGAATGTATCAAAAATAGCTTCCTTCACATAAAGACCTGGAAGGAACCTTGGTGACTCATTCTATTTATCCATCTAAAACAAGCCATCACTCCTCTTCATAGAAAGACATTTCTCCTCATATTTACCTTTTCTGAAACAGAGGCAAAACCCTTGGTTGGATGCTGTGTTCTCATGTCAAAAACATGGAATTTTCCTTCCAGAGATGTAGCTACTAACTTATTCATACTTATGTCTTTTCTGTCAAACTCCAAGCTGCACACCTGAAAAGAGAACATATTTATTACTGATAGTCTCCTCATTTTTACAAAAGAGGCTCTTTGAAGCTAAGTAAAAGAGCTTTATAATGATCAAATCATGTGAAAGCACTTTTTAAACAACCATTCTGTCTTTTCAATCAATACTGCCAGTACTGTTAGTGTAAAGAAATTTCTCCCCTGTTAATAAACAAAGCCATCTTGCCTTCCCATGTTCAGTGGGTGCATTTGGAAAGTCATAATGCAGCTTTCTCCATTCTTTTAGACAGTTCAGGAAGGAACCACATTCTCTACCAAAGGTGCACAACTCAGGAACCAAAAACCTGAGGGTACTCAGGGAGGCTAATGCTACTCCTGGCTTCCTGAACCTAGCAAGAGAAGGCCTCTCGGTTGCTCGTTTTGTTAGCACACTGCATGACCCAGAGGGACCACAGAAAGCTCTTAGGGGCAGGTCACTCCCTGGCACTGTACAAACAGGATCAGGGTGTGTGTTCACTTTCCGAAGAGAGGACTCATGGTTTTTATAGATTTTCAAAGGAGTCTGACCCCAAAAGCTTAAGAACCGTTGGCAGAGGGGTTGATGAGATGGGTTAATAGAGCTACTTTCTGTTTGTAGTGGTTCAGAGGTGGCTGATGACATGCTCAAAGAAACCAGCAAGCACTAGAATGCAATTACCCCATTTTTGATGTTTGTCTCCCACCGTAATGACATATTTCTGAGGTCAAAGAGTTTGATATCCCCGTTGTCATAGCCAGCACAAACCACACGTTCTTCCTGATTGTAAGCATTGCCTGGAAATCAAGATAACAACATTTCAGATCTTTATCATGCTAACATAAATGCTGCAAAAAAAGTGTTCTATGAAACTGTACAGAAAACTCAGAGCAAAACAAGATGTTTAAAACTCACACTGGATGGGAATCCTATTTTATCAGCCATACTGGGACATCAAGGTTACTAATTTGATATCTAATGGCCCTTTTTTTGTAAATAAAGCTCATTCACTGAAAATCTCTACTGAAGAGCTATGTGAAAGTATTTACTAGATTCTAAGTTGAAAGAACATGCTCTCCATATACTAAATATTCACAGACGAGCAGCTCAACTACGAGGGGTCTACAAAAGTCCATGAAACATGCATGCTATGAAAAAAAATATGGTATGCATGGATCTCAAAAAGTTTTTGCACCAAAATAATGTTTTTGTTTTGTATTAAAAAAAAAGTTTTACCTATGTATTTATTTGAAAGAAAGTCATGAGAGAGAAAGAGAGAGAGACAGAGAGAGAGAGAGACATGGCTCTTCCATCTATATTCCCTAAATGTCTGCCACAGCTGGGGCTGTGCCAGGTGGAAGCCAGGAGCCTGGAATTCCATCCGGGTCTCCATGGAGGTGGCAGGAACCCAAGGCCTTGGGCTATCATCTGTTACTAAGTGGGTGCATCAGCAGGAAGTCAGCTCAGAAGTTGAGGCAGGACTAAATCCCAGACACTTCAGTATGGGATGCAGGTGTTCCAAGCAGAGGCTTAACCCATTGTGCAAACACTCACCCTTAATTCCATATTTTCATGAACTTTTGAAGTACCCTCATACATTTAAACATAGAGGGAGGTGTGGGAGGATAAACAGCTCTGTTTCTCATTACTTTCTTTGGCAGTAACTATATTTGAAAGCCAACAGCAACTACTTTAAAACCTATTTTGCAAAATGTTGTTCTAGTGTTATTCTGTCTCTGCCAGGAGATCTGAAAGATAAGGCATGCTGGGACATATTTTTAGTGATGTGGATGATCAATACCTAAATTCATCCTACTAGCATTTAGTCCCTGAGTTCCTCTTGATGAGGAAAGAGTTTTAAGTGAGAGGGTGGCCCCTGTCCCTGTGTGAGGCCTTGGTTCTCTGCTGCTCCAACTTCTTCTTCACAAACTCCAGCCCAGAATTTCCATGGTGAACTCCCCCTGTCTAGTCCATGGGCACCTTATACTCTCAGGCACCAATCTGAACTCTGCCTTTCCTTACAACCATCCCTACCCCTGGGAACTCACTAACATCAATCAATAACATCATTCACCGGACAACCAGACTTAACATTCAGTCATTTTGGACAAATCCTTTCCCTTGTTCCTTGTATTAAGGAAAAAGAAAATGCCAAATTGTATTTATTCTGCCACAACACGCACATTATCTTCTGACTCCTCGCCTCTGCTCCAGTCTTGTTGCTTCTAACCTATGTCTTGCCTGGAATACCACAAAAAGTGCAGAGCTCATATCCCCTGTGCCACTCATCTCTCCCCGCGATACATCACCAGTTAATTTTCCTACAGCTTGGATCACGTCTCATCTATGCAAAAACCCCAGGCAAGCTCACAGCTACCTCCGGGCCATTCAAATGCCTCTGGCGAGGGTCCAGCACCATCCCTAAGACTATTCCACCCACCATTCCCTCTGCCTATGTTCTTGAGCACTGCTCAGTGGTTGAAGTCCTGTGTATTTTTAGTCCGGACTCAAAATGGTCTTCCTGCCCAGTCACCTCTCTCTGGATTCCTTCTGCGTTTCTCCCTGCCTCCTCTTATCACACTTCACATAAACATCAGGCCCTCTTTTCTAAACCATAAGCTTCTTGAGGTTAAAATAAGTTTGTTTCACATTTGCACACACACAGTAACTTGTACATAGTTGGCATTCATAAAAAATTGTCATATTAATGGACTTTTAAAAAATTTAATGTCCTATAGTTCAAATTATACTTACAACCCTGAGATCAACAATGAAAAGGTTTTAACAAGTCCAAAGATAATTACTTTTCCATTCTGACACCAATTTTAAAATGGTCATTCTAAATACTGACCCTGAAATTTCTCCCCAAAGTGCATACATTTTAAGTTCATATCTCCATATAATAACTTATTTTAAAAATTGGAAATATGAAATTTTTCTGATTCAGTAACAGCCCAAAAGCAACATTAAAAAGTTAAAAATAGTCCAGGATAAATCCTGTTCTTAATGCCAATTATCTATGTAAGATAATAATACTAAGAAAAAGAGGGAAGAAAATTCTATGGCCCATATCTTGTAGCATCAAAAAGTAATTTAATTTTGGCAGTAGCATATTTTCAAGGGCAAGTGCCAATTAGAGCCCTATCAGTTAATATTGAGTATATTAATAGAGAAATAGTTATCAAAATGATAAGAAATAATTCTGCAATGGAGTAACTATTTCCTAAAAAACCACATATTCTATAAAAAATGTGATGTAGGCGCTGGCATTCTGATGCAGTAGGTTAGACTGGGTTAACACCAGCTGCTCCACTTTTGATCCAGCTCCCTGCTAACACACCTGGGAAAAGCAACAGAAGATGCCCAAGCGCTTGGGCCCCTGCCGTCAATGTGGGAAACCCAGGTGAGCTTCCTGGCTCTGGCTTTGGCCTGGTCCAACCCTGGCCCTGGCAGCCATGTGGGGAGTGAACCAGTGGATGGAAGATCTTTCTCTCCCTCTCTCTCTGTAACTCTACCTTTCAAATAAATAAATAAATCTTTAAAAAAAAAATGTTAATACAAGATTAGGTTACCATATGCATCTGAGATTCTGTTTAGCTCCAGTAATGGCACTAAACTAGGTTAATACTGTCTAAACAGAAGCACATTTTATTTTTTTATTTTTATTTTTTTAATCTGAACAAAACTCTTTATTTGAAGATGTGCCGTATAAAACAGTGCCGCGTGTGTCCCGGCTTTGTGTCTGTGTGGTGGAAGTTGCACCTGTTCTGAGGTCTACAGAGTCAGCATCATGGCAGAGAAGCACATTTTATTAACAACAAATGTTTTTGAATACTTCATAATGCAAGCATGATTCTAACATGTGTACACTTTCAGTTTTCACAGTAACACCATCAAGTAAATTCTAGTATTAGCACCATTTTGTAGATGAAACAACCAAGCATCAGAAGTGAGGTGGGTAGCTTGTCCCAGCAAATAGTGGAGCCTGCCATTCACTCTTTGCTTCACTATACTCTGTGAGCAGTCCACCAAACAAGCCCTGGGGCCATCACTCACTGCCTCCCAGAGTACGCACCAGCAGGGCTGTATCTCTGCCTTTCAAATAAATAGGAAATAAAGAATTTTTTTAAATTAGAAAGAATAGCCACAACACAGCTTGTCCAGAGACGATCAGGATTCTTCTGAGGCTGTGGACCTTTCACCATCTGATCCTTAAAACCCAAGCGTTGCTCAGTAACTCACCAAACGCCACAGTCCAGCAGTCTCTCTTGTGTTCCCCTTGTACAGGCTCCATGTTAGCAACAGGGTCATCTTTCTGCCTCGGGTCCCACACCTTCACAGTTCCTGTCATGGATAAAAGTAAGGTGGCAAAATGCAATCGGGAATGGTCATGTTTCTTTCCCACATTCTCTTCCTACGGTGTGTACATGGCAACAGTACAGATGTTTATGACGTCTGAAAAATATTCTAGTTTCTCCAACTTCTAATTAGTTTGAAGTATGTATTTGATATCAAAGATATGACTCCTATGTTACTGTCTGACTTGATTGCCAAATTAATGGACACACAGAAAAGCAACAGCTGTTCCTAGGTTATCCACAAGCTATTGATCAGGCAAACACAAATGTCACATAATTCAAATCATGCCCTCTGTTCTTTGAGCCTAAAACAAACTAATGTATTATTTAGAATTATACTGGTGTCATTTTAAAATTTTTTCCTTACTATCTGTGTAATCACTGATGCTTTTTAAAATTTTATTTTTTAAAGGTCAGTTTTGATTTGAAGGGGAGGTGGGGGGTAGAGATAGCTGGAAAGATGGATGGATGGATTGATAATCTTGCCAGGCCAAACCCAGGAACCAGGAACTCCACTAGGATCTCCCAAATGGGCGTCAGGGCCCGAAGAGCCATCCTCTGCACAGTAACAGGGAGGCAGGCATCCTCTGCACAGTAACAGGGAGGCAGGCGTCCTCTGCACAGTAACAGGGAGGTGGATCCAGAGGCGGGCAGCCGGGACTCGAGCTGGCCCTCCAGTGTGGGATGGCAGAATTGCAGGCAGCAGCTTAGCTTGCTGTGCCACAGCCTTTCTTACACAAGGCTCCAACGTTTCTTACACAAGTGAGTATACTCTAATGTTTACTCTATGGTTTCTATATGGGGTTTTAGAGTATTACTTCATGTAATACTCTATAGAGTACTATCCTAATATTATTTTAATAGAGAATTACTTCATGTGGGAGACCAGGAGGAAGCACCTGGCTCCTGGCTTTGGATCCCATATGGGTGCTGATTCTACTCCTGGCTGCTCCTCTTCCCATCCAGCTCTCTGCTATGGCCAAGGAAAGCAGTAGAAAATGGCCCAGGTCCTTGGTCCCTGCACCCACGTGGGAGATCCGGAAGACGCTCCTGGCTTCTGGCTTCGGATTGGCACAGCTCTGGCCATTGCAGCCATCTAGGGAGTGAACCAACAGATGGAAGACTTCTGTCTCTACCTTTCTCTGTAACTTTCAAATAAATAAAATAAAATAAAATAAAAATAAATAAATAAAAATAAAATAAAAGGCTGCCTTAAGAAGAAAAACATTTCTCACAAATGTTAACAAGAGGTTATCTTACACGGTAAGGTTTATACAAATTGATAAGATGTACAGTAAGTGTCCAATAGCTAAATGAACAAAGAATATAAACAGACAACTCACAAGCCAAAACCAACTAACAAACAAAGACAAAAGTTAATACAAGTTAGAATGGAGTACTGTTTTATCTATAAAATTATGGGAAAAAAGGAAATCAATGCTACTAGGGGAGGTTGGAAATCTACTTCATGTATTGTACCTGACAACGTCACAGATACTTTGGAAAGTCTAACACTAAATTTTAAGAACCATAAAATGTTTATTCCAAAAGAGTTACATAAATGACAACAATCATTTCTTCATTACTTTTAAACCAGTCTCACAAAACAATAAACTTAAAGTACACTGAATGCTTATCAACAGTGGCATGGGTAAGCACATTGACACAGTCATATAATGGAATATTATAGTTCTTAAAATAATACGAAAACTGGAAACAGCAGGATTTATACATGACAAAACATTAAATCAAGAAGGATATGAAATTATATTCATACTGCTAAATATACAAAATGGTATATAAAACTGGAAAGGCAAATAAAAATCTAATGGTTGGGGCAGTGTGATAAATTCAGTATTATTTTGCCTTCTATGTTCCATATTGCTTTTATGATTGGAAGAACAACTGATTTTCTTTTTAAAGATTTATTTTCTTTCTAAAGATTTATTTTCTTTATTTGAAAGGCAGAGTTACCAAGAGAGGGAGGAGAGAGAAAAAGAGAGGGGTCTTCCATCAGTTGGTTCATTCCTCAAATGGCCACAACGGTCAGGGCTGGGCCAGTCCAAAGCCAGGAACCAGGAACTTCTTCTGGGTCTCCCATGTGGGTGCAGGGACCCAAGCATTTGGGTCATCTTCCACTGCTTTTCCAGGTGCATCACAGGGAGCTGGATCAGAAGTGGAGCAGCCAGGTCTCAAATCGGAGCCCATATGGGATGCCAGCATTGCAGGCAGTGGCTTAACCTGCTATGCTACAGTCCCCGTCCAGAACAACTGATTTCTAAAACACAACTGCTGTTAACTATTTTAAAATGATATATTTATATTTTAAATCAGTTTCCTCATGGTCTTGAATAGTTGTTAAAAAACTAGTCCAACCAAGGTACCGAGTCTCTCGTGCATCCCTCACGAAGCCATACAAACTGCGATTCGGTCACAGTCATTCCAACCAGTACTGGCCACAGCAGATGAAAAAGGCCAGGAGTGCCCTCTATCACACCCAGTGCGGGGAGCTCGGAGCGCCCTTGGAGGGCTCTACCACACCCAGCACGGGGAGCTCGGAGCCTCAGTTTCCAACCAGCTGTCAATATGACAATTTTCACAAGTACTAATTCTGCTTTTTAAAAAAAGAAAATGAAAAGCTGCCACCCACATTATATCGTCAGCTGCCTCAAAAACCTGTAAAGACATTTTAAATCCTTCAAGGTTCAGAGGAAACTACCATTGTTAGTTGAACTAACTTGGTACTAAAATAGTGCGTGCTATATGCCTCTATCTCAAAATGCCCCAAAGTCTGAAACGACTGAGGGATACGCCATCCAAATTGCCTATGAAAAGAGCAGAGGCAAAACTGTTGATGTCATGGTCAAGGCAATGCGGTAGGGGCGGGGAGGGGATTGCCATATGGACAGCAGGCTGCACAGAGACTTCGTTTTAGACGCACAGACTACATCGACTCACCATCTCGACTGCCAGTCACAATTTCAGGGGCTCCTTCGCCGACTCCCAGTCCACCCACCCCATCAATGGTGTTGATGATTTCTTTATGGCCCTTTACCGAATACACTGGCACCTCTGGGGCTTCCAAATTCCTAGACAACAAACACAGCCTCTTACTTACACAAACCTTCAATTCCACTAATAAAATATAAGAACACACATCATACCCGGATTTTTGTTTAAAAATAAAGGTTCTGCCACAAAGGTAACTTACATACTTCTAAATTTTTCTTTCCATTTAAGTGACTTTTAAGTGCCCAGTGAGAACTGTGATTATTAAGCTTGGAACTCACACGCCTGAGCCCATTTTACCTACTGCTCTTCAGAGAGGATCTATCTAGGACTTCCGTGTCGGAACTACCAGGTGGGCTTGTTAATAACTGCAGGTTCACAGGCTTGTCCCTAGACATAATCAGTCAGGATCTCTGGGATGGTCCCCAGGCTGCTGACTAGCTGGTTCCCTGAAGTCTGATAACCAGTGCTTCGAACAAGGAGTGCATCCAAAGTGATTTAGGCTGTTTCCAAAGTAGGCCTGGGTGGCTTGACCTTGAACCCCTTTTGAAGGATATGAGTACTATCTATGTTGTACATGTTTCTTCCTTCACTGTGCATTATTATTTTCTTATTGATTTTCCAGACTGACACAGTATGAATTTCAACGTCTCATCATACTGCTTACAACGAATACAACAGCAGGCCAGGCTGACCTTTGCCTACTTCATAGTTCAGTGAGAGGCATTCAGGAAAGGTGTTCAGCCTGTCTGCTTGCTTCTACACTGCAGGGGAAGGTGATGAGCACTTGGCCAGGCTGCACTCATCCATACCTTTCTTGCCTCCCAGTGTTTCCTTCCTTCTTTCAATTTTCTATGGGAGCCTATTATTCACATTTCCCACAGTCAGTCAGATTCCAAAACTTATACATCTTTTTAAAAAGAGTGTGATTACTCATGAAATGTGATCCCAATGTATTATTAGGCCACAATTTATTTGTAAATTCTCACTAATCAAAGATCAGTGCTTCTTCAACCTAGCTTAGAGATGACGCTTACCTTGTGCCATCATCATGAAAGCATCAAGAGACTAAACAGGACTCTGGTCTGTTTTATCATTTTTTTCAGATTTTAAAACATTACTTTTTATAAACATGGAATTATAAGACTTGTAAGACTTATGAATGAAAGTAAGTTGTTAATACCTATTCCACACTAGGAAACTCTATTAGGAAGATGGTTAACCATTATATTTGCTGCATATTCTTTTGTTGAAACATATTTATTTATAAAAATAACATTCAGACTGGCTTCTCTCCCAATATGTCTCAAAGTATATAACATGAAATATATATGAACAGATGAGTAAGTGATGATTTAATTAATTGAAAAGTTAAAGCAAGAGGAAATTGAAATCATTTCATTCTGGTTTATATAATAATTTTAAAATAAATTAGAATAATAATTCCCATGAAAAGTAATTAAAGGGGAATTTAATTCATCATTCAAATTTAAATATGAACAAATAACTCTTAGGCGAGATATAAAAATAAAAGGTATTTTGCACAATTGTGATTTTTCTGGTCCTAAACAGGTTTACTTTGATTTGTTTGTCACATGTGTTCACAAAATAGTGTGCTTAGATGTTATTAAAACATTAAAAAAACCAAAATTTAAAAGGTATTGGAAGTTCTACATTAAAAATAACTAAAACAAGCAAAAACTGAAGGAATCATTTTATAATGCCAAATCTTTTTGTTGAAATGTAAACAATCTAATTTTTCCATGTTATATATGTGCATTTTTGTATATTGTATCCTTAAAGATAGAGACTAAACCTTTATAAATAAGACCACTAAATGCTGGCACCAAACAGCACATGTGATAATAAGTATTGATAAAATAATTCAACATGTCTAAAGAAAAATAAGTATTTTTCTTATACTTTTTTCCCCCACGTGATCAGCAAGGAGACAGAGAGCTACCATCTGCTAGTTCAGTCCTCAAATGCCCACAACCTGCAAGGGCTAGAGCCAAAACTAGGAATACAATCTAGGTCTCCCATATAGGTAGACAGGAACCCAGTTACTTGAGCCATCACCAGTGCCTCCTAAGGTCTTCATCAGCAAGAAGCTAGAGTTAACAGCCAGACCCAGGAAGGGAACTGAGGCACTCCAGTGTGGAACACAGGCACCTTAATACCTAGGCCAAATGTCTACTCCAGCTCAGCATTTTTTAAAGACTAAGTTTGAATATGAAACCCAGAAACATATATTAAAATAATTCTAATATTTTATAGTTAAAATTAACTAAGGAAAGAAACATTTAAAAATTAAAATTCTATTTTTCAGGGAAAGAGTAGTAAGACTATAGAAGAAATGGCTTATCGCATCTCTCCAGATACTGATTAAATAATTTACCATATATGAAGATTTCCACCAAAGTCTCCAGTCGCCAAGTGTCTCTGCTGTAGAGATGCTGCACCAAATGTTCCACATTTAATGGGCTTGGCTTTTTCAATCTTGATGGAAGGAAGAGGTGATACATTATTTATGTTAGCAGTTATTTATAATCCACAATTTTAATGGCTCAATTATGGGACTTATATAAGATATATAATATAAAAGGCAATGAAAAATAAAAATGGTCATGATTTCCATTTTGTCATTTTTCCACTGTTTCAAAGTATATAACTGTCAAAAAGAGCTCTGTCTTTCCTCTCACTTCAGTGATGAGACATTCAAATGCTGACAACTCTACCATCTCCACTGGTTAGCAAATATTAAACTTCCAACTTTTTAAGAAGATTTTATTTGAAAGGGAGAGTTACAGAGAGATCTTCCATCTGTTGGTTCAGTATGCAAAGGGCCATAATGGCTGGGGCTGGGCCAGGCCGAAGCCAGGAGCCTGCAAGTTCCAACATTTAAGGTGATATTCTGTAAGATCTTCAGTGGAAAGGGGATCATAAGGAAGATGCTATTCCTTCCAGATGGCTACAAGAGCTAAGCGGCTCATGTGTCTTTTATAATTTCCCTTGCAGAACCTTACAAACTGAAGATGTGGGGCCAGCTCTGTGGCATAGCGGGTAAAGCCACTGCCTGAAGTGCCGGCAGCCATATGGGTGCTGGTTCGAATCCTCACTGCTCCACTTCCAATCCAGCTCTCTGCTGTGGCCTGGAAAAGCAGTGGAAGATGGCCCTTGGGCCCCTGCACCCATGTGGAAGACCTTGGCTCCTGGCTTTGGATGGGCTCAACTCTGGCCGTTGCAGCCATTTGGGGAATGAACCAGCAGATGGAAGACCCCTCTCTCTCTCTCTCTCTCTGCCTCTGTAACTCCACCTTTCAAATAAATAAATAAACCTTTAAAAAAATTATACAAACTGAGGATGTTAATGTCCCACTTTTTCTGAGCACTTTTCAATGCAGATTTCTAAACCTACACGAATCAAGGCACTTCCATTAGTTTGTGTTGGCCCACCTTCTGATTCCAATTTCTCCACCCCAAACTCTACCTGCCAAGGACACTAAAATTCCTCTTAGAGTCTAGATGCTTTTCCTGCTAAGTTGGCCCTGGAGATTTTGGAATTTGTAGTTAAATAAGGCCATTGCATCACACCACACTCTTGCACTATCATAACACCTTCCATTATGCACGCGTGCACACACACACACACACTCGCATTACTAAAAGTCTCAGCAGGGCAAAATTATTATTCCTTGTATTTAGTTTCTTAATCTTCAAAATTTTTAATTGTTAATGTTTACAAAAGTATCACCTGTTCCCTCTAAAAATTCGAATGCAACAAATCAATGAAATAGTGAATCCCTTTAACACTCCAGAAGCAATCTCCATTCTTCTAGACCTTTGCCTACACATTTGCAAACACTTAGGTTTGCAATCTTTTCCTTCTGCAGAGTTCTCCTGTTTCCAGGGCATCTCCCCTGGTAAGTGAGCCAATCTTCTGTCCTCCCTTTAGGGTTAGCCTGTCTCAAATAATTTCAAAAAAAATTTTCATACAGGCTATGTTATCCATATAGGGTATACCTAGCAATTTTCAAAGTAGAAAAGAAAGTTAACCTAAGACAAACTATATGTGGACTTTCCTATCCTAATTAAAAAAAATAACATTATATAGTGCAAGGCTTAGAAACTCCTGGACACTGAACTTTTTCACTATTTGGGAGCTGGATAAATAAGAAGTTACAATGTCAGATCTGAAAATAAAGTATCAATAGCCTCCTTGGGATTGTCCAGTAAACAAAATCAGCCATCTACAATAACATGATGATAAAAGACTATATTCCTGAGAAGCACAGAAACACCAAATGCTGATTTCTCAAAGCATGAGTGGTCTGCAATGGCATAGGCTGTTCACTGCTTCAGAACACTGACAATTTCTTTTCCTTTTCCTTTTTTTTTTTTTTTTTTTTTGACAGAGTTAGACAGTGAGAGAGAGAGAGAGACAGAGAGAAAGGTCTTCCTTTCTGTTGGTTCACCCCCCAAATGGCCGCTACAGCCGGTGTGCTGCACTGATCTGAAGCCAGGAGCCGGGTGCTTCCTCCTGGTCTCCCATGCAGGTGCAGAGCCCAAGCACTTGGGCCATCCTCCACTGCACTCCCGGGCCACAGCAGAGCTGGACTGGAAGAGGAGCACCCGGGACAGAACCCAGCACCCCAACCGGGACTAGAACCTGGGGTGCCGGCACCACAGGCGGAGGATTAGCCAAGTGAGCCGCGGTGCCAGCCTATTTTCCCAATTTCATCAAAGAGTATCTTGAAATAGAGCAACACGGAGGATCAACATTTTGTCAACTTAACAAAGCAGGTGCCAGCTCCATACTACTTCTGTTCTGCTCCCCTCTCCCCAGGATTAAAGGACCTGAAACAATTCATTAGTGGTACAGCCCTTGTCACTCTGAGGACATAGCTCTAGGGTTAACTCAGAGTCCCGACTACGCCCATTCATGGAATGGCCACCAAGCCCTGGCTCCCATTTGTCTCCCATGGGGCCTGGGCCTTGCCCAGCTCTACACGGAAAGAGTTGACAATGGCTTTCCAGTTCTGAGGCAAGAAGCTGGCGGTCCTGACGGGCAGGAACGTGGTTCCAACGGCATTGAGGATCAGGTACTGCAGGGGCACTCATGTCACCTACTGAAACAACCCTCTGGAAAAACCCTTCTCAGAGAAGCATGGAACATCGGTTGCTCACGGTCTTCCCAAGTGGCTACAGCATCCTGCTTCCTGTACTTCTGTGCCATGGAGACCCCTGATGAGGGGTTTTCTTCTCCCTGGGCCATGAAAGAGGTAAGCACTAACCTCCAGTTCTCACTCCCTATGGTAAGCACACAGCTCATCTAAGACTTCACTCAGTAACCCTTTCCTCCCCGTGTTACTCCTGTACCTAGCTCCTGCTTGTAAACCTTGAGAACACACTGATTTTTTTGGTGCCAACATGAAATAATAGGATAATTTAAAAATGCACCCAAAACAAAATGGATTTGCATTTCTCAATTTTTAAAGTTTTCTTCAAATAAAATTGTAGCTTATTTGTTATAAAGTGGGGGCTATCATTGTGATGTAACTGATAAAGCTGTCTCCTGTGACCCCTTGGCATCACCTATGGCCCACTGGTTCATGTCCCAGCTGCTGCACTTCCGATCCAGGTCCCTGCTAATGGCTTGGGAAAGCAGCAGAGGATGGCCCAAGTGTTTGGGCCACTGCCACCCATGCAGGAGACCTGGATGAAGCCCCTGGCTTCTGGCTTCAGTCTGGCCTGGTCCTGGACGTTGTGGCAATCTGGGGAATGAACCAGCAGATGGAAGATCCCTTTCTCTCTGTAATTCTGACTTCCAAATAAATAAATACATTTCTTAAAAATAAAGTAATAACAAATACTAGCATATGAACACACCAATAAGAAAACAGAAAAGAGGACTTCAAAACCTTGTAATATATAGATCTGAATATGGAGTCAGATTTGTCTGCTGAAAAACTCATCCTTGTGCACTGATACGACTTGACCAATGTCCTGGTGTTTCCAAAACAGCACCGCCGTGTGCAGATTCTCCAACACCTGCGCGTGTGGAAGAACTGCTACCTTGGATGGAGACAGCAAACTGAGACCCAGTCTATTTCCTCAGAGGTCTTCTATCAGTCATTTCTACACTGGTCATTGCACGCATTCTAAAAGGGAGTCTTTATTACACATGTACTGGAAAGAAATAAAATGTACCTACATGCAGAAACACAAACTTACAGGAGTGGCACCAAAGCCTGTGGAATACAAAATGTGCAAGGCTCTTGGAAATCTGGCCTTGTCTGTCTGTTCCTTGCTTTTCCCCTTCTACTTCACTCCAGCAACAACAGGGTCATTTCCATCTCCAGGCACTGGCATCTGCTGTTCCCACTGCTTGGGCTGCTCTTTCCATCGGCCTCCCTCCTTCTTTCAAATCTCAGAGAACTTCCCTGGCCTCCAATCTGCAGCTGGACGCTCAGATCACGATCACCCATGCTCTTTAATCTTCTTTATTGTACTTAGCAACAAACTTACTTTCTTCACTCCATTATCTATTTCTTCCCCTTCTAGAATGTGAGCACCATAAGAGCAGGGCCTTGTCTAGTAACCTAGTAAGTTGCATCCATGCGACATCTGTTGAATACAGGTGTGACTGACTCTTCATTTCACAGCTGTACCAGATGGAAGCACACGGTACTCTGCTTCCCTAGCTCCCTCGTGTTCTCTTCTCTGTTGTATTAAAGGAACACAAAGAGATGCATAGAACCCAGTGGACGGTTGTGCAAGAACTAAACTCAATATGTGAACATATTAGCACCTTATGACTGAGTACAGCAAGGAGTGTAACTTAACTCAGCAGTTAAGTGAACTGCACTGTCCAGAGGACTTAGAGAAGACCCATTTCCTCTCTCCTCAGCCATTCATGAACTTCGTCATGGTCCTCAAATTAAAAGACTACTGAAAGCTTACTTTTTATAGTACCCAAAAGGGATCCTTCTCTGCTCCTGTTAGATATTTAACATACGGAAAAAGAAAAGAGGAAAAGAATTCAGTGGCAACTTAAAATTACTAGAAAACGGATTAAGTTTTGCAAAAATTGTTCCACAAAGAAAATGAGCTCACTGTAATCATTTTTGCTTTACCATACTCAAAATGACCATCAGCGATGGGCACACTGACCTCATGGTTGGTTTCCTCTGCGACAATAACACGTTCACATGATTAAAGGAGCCCATGATTGATAATTCCCAGGAGAGCTATTTTTGTTCTATCTGTGGGTGGGTCTAGTACAGCTTGTCAGTATTTCCTCCTCCACATCCTGGCACTAGATAATTAACATGAAAAGGTTTAGTCAACCAAATGCTAACAAGCAGTATATTCGTAGCACAGGGGCTACAAAAGCAGAACTTTATTCCCTTATCACTAATTTTGATAGTCAAAACATCCACAACCATGCTTCCATTTCTCAGGGCCATCCCTAGTCCATATCCTTTGTGCCAATTAGACAAAAAAAAAAAAAAAAAAAAAAACCTTCCCTTAGAGGGTGGAGTTGTACACACACACATAAGGCCTGATGAAAAAGAGATGGATTTCAGCTCCCCAACACGTGGCCAGACAATCTTGTAGGTACAACAAACTGCTCAACTGGACGTGGAGGCCCTCCCCTCCGGGCCCTAGCTGTCCTTTTAGTATTGAGATAGGGAAGCCATCAATGAAGACTGGTTTGCTTCTGTCACTCATTTTTTATCTTAGAGGCAAGAGCTTGGGAGCACTTGACTTAGTGTGGCTCCATAGTGGTTAATCAGGTGTGCTTCCTAATATTTTAGTAAATAATCCAGCTAGCCCAGTGGCTCTCAACCTTGGTACTACTCTTTAGAATCATCTGGCAGAAGTTTAAAAAACCATGATGTCCAGGCCATGCTCCAGTGTAGACATACCATAGTACCACCGTGAGACAGAATTCCTAGGGTTGTATCAAAGCAGGATACTTGAAAACACACACACCTAACAACAACAATACACACTCAGGTGATCCTGATGCACAAGAAAGGGTGAGAATCATGGAATCTGTATTTAATCTATATTTTTTCCATTGCATAACCACAGCCAAATGAGTTCTTGGAAGTGGTTTTGTAACTGTTTTATCAAATTTTTAGAATTTAGGAGAAGGAACTATCCTTCAGGTATCACTGGTCCATTTTTTAGCACACTACCTTGAAAAAATAAGTTCTTGATAGATAATGTATGGTAGAATAAAAGAAGATGCAGAGGATCCTGATGAAAATATAAAAAGTAGTGATTCCTGGCAATTAGACTATGATGGTATTTTCTATTTTCTTCTTTTTCCTATTCATATTTTTAATTAGCAATAATTGTGCCTCGGATAAACCTTATTGGCTACAATACTGCCACTGCGCAAAGCTCCTATTCATATTTTCTAAACGTTCTATCATGAACACATACCACCTTTGCTAAAAATTTTTTTTTCCTAGACTTCCACAAGTATCTCAAGAGACAAAGAGTACCATTTCACTCAATGGAATAAGTACATTCCTGAAATGTGTACAAGTCATATATAAATGCTCTCTGGTTGAGGTTCAATTGGCATTTGCTACTAATATTTCACCTCTAAGTTTCTTTGCTATTTCAATGCTATACCAACTTAATTAATGATCAGTAAACCATTATGTAAATTTCTCAAGTTATATCCTATTTACAAACATACATCCATTCCTCCTTTTAATAAGTAATTTATTGAGTGGCTGCTCCTTACAAACCACACTCAAGAAAGGCACTGTCCTTACTCTCCAGGGGCTTACAATCTAGTGAGAGAAAAATGGAACCAACTGTATATTTCTGGTATAGATAGTAAGTCCTATAGGAATGCAATGTAAGGGAAAGTTGCTTTGTGTGAGGATCAAGAATTTCATACATCAGATAACCTGACCTGGATGTTACACTAGCAAAAGGTGACCATGACCTAAGTGATGAACAGCATAAGGAAAGGTGGAAAAGAGTAAACTATGTTTAGAAACTCTCCGTAGAAGGCTTGGCTACCAAGTGAACAAGAAAACAGGCATCCAGGGGAACCTGCAGTGGGGGCGGCCCTTACATACCCGCCCAGGTAGGCTTGCTTACCCAACTGTCCTCAGGCTTCCTATCAGCCGAACCCCAACCTCCTGCGAGCTGACGCTCCCCACGGAGCTCTCAACATCACTGCTGGTTTAGCCCATCCCAGACCTGAACTCCTGATTCTAACTGACCATCGTTCTCAGGCAACCCACACCAGGACATTTACAAAGCTGTATAAAGTTGTTACAATACAAGTTGTCATGCACTCTTTTCACCAGTCATCTTTACAAAATTTGTAAATCTGTTTGCCACACTCTGAGGCCCTGCACTGATGTTTCCTTTTCACGTCCCACAGACCTTGCAATGTCTGGTTTCTGCTTATCCCTCGTTTCCTAAGGAGCTAGCCTTTCTCCCACCACTAAGCTTCCCCCGGGGGGCTTCCTTTGGAAATAACATCTTCTAGTGCTAATCTGCCCTAGGAAGTTTCTGCTCATCCCAAATCTGTTTATACTCTCACAGTGTTGTGTTACGAGAACTCATTTCGGTTTGCATTAAGGCATCTTCGTTGGTTTGATTGTTTAACTATCTCTCCATGAGACTGGGGTCACCTGCCATGCGCATGCCTGCGAACAACAGGCCCTCAGCTGACGCATGTCCCATGAATCAATGTTAGGTTGTCTCCTCCAAGTATTTACAGGCATCCGGGCGCCTGCTTCTTCTCTACTTCCATGAAAAGCACTTTCTAACATGGGCCTATTAACAGACTCCAAAACCAACTAGGAACAGCCCCCAAAGGCCCCAGAAGGTAGACAGGTCACTTCCTAGAGACCTCGCGCTGGACTGCGCTGAGGGGGCAGGAGGAAGCGTGTCGGCAGGGCGCGATGAACTAGCCCGCCGAAGAGAATTCAAGACTAGAAAACAAGTTTTTACGCCAGACGCATTCCTCAATCTGCGATCAGCTTCTCTGGTCCCACGAAGCTCGAGCTACGCTCTTGGGGAGACGCTGGACGAAGACTCTGGCCAAGACAGTTGCAGACCCCAGGATCCGCACTCGCCATCAAGGCAGTCCAGAACCTGGACCTGCGTCATCTCGACCCGGCACCCACCTCCCGAAGCAGCTTCAGGTCCCCGTGCTGGATCTCGTACAGCTGAATGACGCCGGTGCCCCGTGCGAAGTTGCCCACGGTCACAAACTTGGCGCTGCACGGCACCCACTTACAGTCAAACACTGTGTAGTTGAGGCTTTTCTGGATATGGGCGATGACCTGAGGCTTCTCGAAGGCCGACATGGTCCAGCCGATTTCGCCTCCCGCAACCGCAAACACCAACCTGGAAACCAGACTCCAAACACAAATTAAGTTTGTCTCTCCCGCTAGCCGTACTCGGCCCCTTAACGCTCGAGCAACTTGGATTTAGTTATCTCCGACGTGCCGGATGCGATGCTGAGATTGCATAAGACGTTTCTTCACAGAAAGCTAAAATCTGATTATATCCCTTAAACGCAGTATTTAACACATACGTATTATCGATGATGAAACACTTTGGCTGTTAATGGAGCGGCCGGAGAGCGACCACAAGAATCAGGCATATCTTAAGACCGCCCACACGGGTATGATTCAGGTCCCCAGCGTGGGACTTCTAAGGAAAAGGGGCGGAGCCCTATGCTTGATTGGCGAAGCCCGGCTCCTGCGCGGTGCGCCTGCGTAATGCAGCCGTGCACGTGTTCGAAGTGGGAGCGCCGACCCGGCCCGGAGGTTCCCGGAGATGGAAGGCGAGATGGAGACACAGGGTGCTGGGTCCGAGGACGGCTTCACTCAAGTCACTCGCAAGGGTGGCCGGCGGGCGAAGAAACGGCAGGCTGAGCAGCTGTCCGCATCCGGGGAGGGCGGGGATGCGGGCCGCATGGACACCGAGGAGGCCCGGCCGGCCAAGAGGCCCGTCTTCCCGCCCCTGTCCGGGGACGGACTCCTGGTACTGGCGGGGCCCCTGGGACAGGCACCGAGGCCGGGCAAGCCCGTGGCCTGGCGGCAGTGTTGAAGCCCCCCGGGGCGGGGGGAAGGGACTCGTCTTTACCGTGAGACTGTTCTGAAGTTTCCTAAGTTAAGTTCAAGGAAAGTTGTTGAGGATCAGCTGTCACTTTACGACTCCACCCCCACCCTCCAGCCGTCTCCTCACTTGTGTGTGTGTGTTTACAGGGTGGGAAAGAAGAAACGAGGAAGATTCCAGTCCCAGCCAACAGGTACACCCCGCTGAAGGAAAACTGGATGAAGATATTCACTCCTATTGTAGAACACTTGGGCCTTCAGATTCGCTTTAACTTGAAATCAAGGAATGTGGAGATCAGGGTAAGAACGCCAACCTTTTCCCAATAGTCTGGATTTCCCTGCTACACGGTGAAAAGGCATGCAGAGACTTGCCTTAAGATCTTCCCAGGTGCCCTCGGAAGCTGCATTCCACACAGATAGCAGTAGAATTTTGTGTTTGTGTTGGACGGCGGGAAGGCTTGGTGAAGAGATTGTCATAGAAGTGTGTGAGTAGTGAACTTCAGCGCCTGCTGCCCTATAAACACTGTATATTTAATGAGATTCTTTTAGGGCAAATAAGTTTTTGTTTTGTTTTGTTTTGACTCCATGTTGTTAGTCCAGGATTTAGGCATTTGAAGCTAATTGATTTTGGGCTTCTTTTTCTATTTTACAAGAATCGATGTTCAAAAGTACTACTTTCCCTTTGTAAAGCTTTGTATACCATCATCAGAACGAGTATAGTTCCTCTCTGTTCCTGACCATGCTAATGACACAAAAGAAGCACTGTTCTATTGGTAAAATTTAAAATAGCGTGGGACGTGGCAGTAGAGCCCCGCTCTGCTTCCATTGCCACCTGATTCAGGCTTCTGTGGCTTCAGGCCTCATTTTCCAGACCACAATGCTGTTTTTTGTTTTTACAAACTTTTAAAACATTTTTTAATTTTGATTTGATTTTTAAGTAGTTTTTAAGAGATTCAGTGAGCTTTGTAGATACAATTCTGAGAACATAATGATATCTCCTCCCTCCCTCCCCTTCTCTCTCCTATCTGCCTTCTTCCCTTTTTTTCAGTTTTTGAGATGACATATTAAATTTACATTACAATAAAAAGGTGAATGAGAAGTTTAAGAAGTAAAAAGGAAAAAGACCCTAGTTTCGTGGGAATATAGACTATAGTTATAAACAGTAATTGGAAAAATGACCATTTACCCATATACAATAAATTTTAAAGTAATTACAGATCATTAAAATATAGTAGTATAACATTGTCAAACATTGGTTTGACAGAGGTATAAAGCAAAGCTTTACAAAACTATGTTTGCAGCACAAAAGGGTTTCTTGTTTGGGTTTTTTGTTTGTCTTTTTTTTTTTTTTTTTTTTTGATAGTTACTTCTTTAAAAAGAGAAACAAAGATCTCTCATCTACTGTTCACTCCCCAAATGCTTGTGACAGTAAGGGCTGAGCCAGGCTGAAGCCAACATCTGGGAACTCAATCCAGGTCTCCTGAGTGGTGGCAGGGACCCAACTACTTGAGCCGTCTTCACCTGCTGCCTCCCTGGGTGTGCACTAGCAGGAAGCTGGATTGGAGGGCGGAGCCAGGACTGGAGCCCTGATGCTCCAATTCCGGGTGCAGGCGTCTCAAGCAGCAGTAAAACCACTGTGCCAAAGATCTGCCCCTGATTTTTCTGTTTGAGAGGCAGGAAAATCATTTGCTACAAGCTTCATTCCTCACAAGCCTGCGATGACCAGGACCAGGACCAGCCTGAGCGGAAGCTAAGAGCTGGGAATGCAATCCTGGTCTCCCACAGGGGTTGCAGGAACTCAGTGACTTCAGACATTCTGGGTCTGCATTAGCAGGAAGCTAAGAGTCAGGAGCTGGAGCCAGCTATCAAACCAGGTACTTGAATATGGGGCACAGACCACTTTGTTTTTTTTTTTAAAGAATTATTTATTTATGGGGCCAGTGCTGTGGTATAGTGGGTAAGGCCACCACCTGTGGCGCTGGCATCCCATATGGGTGCCAACTCAAGGCCCAGCTGCTCCACTTCTGATCCAGCTCTCTGCTATGGCCTGGGAAAATAGTAGAAAATGGCCCAACTGCTTGGGCCCCTGCAACCTGCGTGAGAGACTTGGAAGAAGCTCCTGGCTCCTGGCTTTGGATCCTTTGGGGAGTGAACCAGCAGATGGAAGTCTGTCTCTCATTCTCTCTCTCTCTCTCTCTGACTCTGCCTTTCAAATAAACAAATCTTTAAAAATAATAAATAAACAAGATATATTTATTTGAAATTTAGAGTTACACAGAGAGAGGAAGAAACACAGAGAGGTTTTCAATCCACTGATTCACTTCCCAAATGGCTGCAACGGCTGGGGCTGCACCAGGTGGAAACCCTGAGCTTCCTCCGGGTATTCCACGTGGGTACCAGGGCCCAAGTATTTGGACCATCTTCTGCTGCCTCCGTAGGCCATTAGCAGGGAGCTGGTTCAGAAGTGGACTAGCCAGGTCTTGAACTGGCACCCATAAGGGATGCCAGCGTTGCAGGTGGCAGCTTTACCTCCTACACCCCAGTGCCAGCCCCAGGAGCACAGACATCTTAAGCAGTGTGTTTTTTTGTTTGTTTGTTTGTTTGTTTGTTTTTTTTACAGGCAGAGTGGACAGTGAGAGAGAGAGACAGAGAGAAAGGTCTTTCTTTTGCTGTTGGTTCACCCTCCAATGGCCACCACAGCTGGCACGCTGCGGCTGGTGCACTGCGCTGATCCAAAGCCGGGAGCCAGGTGCTTCTCCTGGTCTCCCATGGGGTGCAGGGCCCAAGTACTTGGGCCATCCTCCACTGCACTCCCTGGCCACAGCAGAGAGCTGGCCTGGAAGGGGGGCAACCGGGACAGAATCCGGCGCCCCAACCGGGACTAGAACCCGGTGTGCCGGCGCCGCTAGGCGGAGGATTAGCCTAGTGAGCTGCGGCGCTGGCCCTTAAGCAGTGTTTTAACTGCTTGGCCACATGCCCTCCCCAAAGCTAAGTTTTTAATGAACTTGCCTTCCAAGTAGGAGACCCAGTCGCAGATTCCTCACTCCCCATTTCTTTGCATGCCTACTCTTTTGTAGCATTGTTGTGTGAAGAAGGTTCTCGTCATGCTCCATTTGTTTCTTAGTTCTAGTCATCTTTCAGGGTATAGCAAGTTCTTTCTCCTTTTTGATAAATCCATTTTTAGTCATTTCTTGAATGTCTAAGTTTCATTGTGCTTATTGGCCATCATGTTTATAACAGGATTATCAAATTGGATGCCACTATATTCCAGACATTTAATGGTACTGTGTGATTTGATCTTTAGGACAGCCCTGAGAGATAGGTGATATGTCCCCACCTTATCCACGTGAGGAAACCGAGGATCGGGGAAGTTGAGCATGTTGGCCAAAGTCATTAGACTCAGGAGTGAATATTGACGCTACTAGAGACCACTCAGGATATTTCTCTGTGACCTCCTTATTTGCAGAGAGGAAAACTTAAGACCTACAGTATCTGTGGGGCTTCCCTAGAGTTACATATGGGATTGGAACTGGGAAATAGTGTTTTTATTTATTTTTTTTTTTTTCATTTATTTATTTGAGAGGTAGAGTTACAGACAGTGAGATGGAGAGACAGAGAGAAAGGTCTTCCTTCAATTGGTTCACTCCCCAAATGGCCGCAACGGCAGGAGCGGCACTGATCCGGAGCCAGGTGCTTCCTCCTGGTCTCACGTGGGTGCAGGGCCCAAGGACTTGGGCCATCCTCCACTGCTACCCCAGGCCATAGTAGAGAGCTGGAGTGGAAGAGGAGCATCCGGGACTAGAACCCAGTGCCCATATGGGATGCCGGCGCCGCAGGTGGAGGATTAACCCACTGCGCCACAGCACTGGCCCCGGGAACTAGTTTTTGTTTTAAGATTTATTTATTTGTGGGGCCAGCGCTGTGGCCTAATAGGTAAGGCTGCTGCCTGCAGTGCCAGCATCCCATGTGGGTGCTGGTTCGAGTCCTGGCTGTTTCACTTCTGATCCAGCTCTCTGCTATGGCCTGGGAAAGCAGTGGAAGATGGCCCAAGTCCTTGGGCCCCTGCACCCGCATGGGAGACCTGGAAGAAGCTCCTGGCTCCTGGCTTCAGATCAGCGCAGCTCCGACAGTTGCAGCCATCTGGGGGGTGAACCAGCAGATGGAAGACCTCTCTCTCTCTCTCTGCCTCTCCTTCTCTCTGTAACTGTGACTTTCAAGTAAAATAAATATATCTTAAAAAAATTTATTTATTTGAAAGGCAGAGCACTAATGAGTGGGGGAGAGAGCAGGGTCTAGTTTTACATGTGGAAGTCTGGTGGACTTCTTTGTTACCTAATCCTGCTTAGTTTTAAATCTGTCATCTGTGATATCGTCGAGTGGACTGCACATCCGTATGTCACCATTTTCACTTCTTAGTTTTTAATTGTCCTCACAGATTAAGGTGTTTGTGCCACTGCACCCTCTGTGGTTGTGGTGTTAGAGGCAGAGTGTAAAGCAGGTTATTTACCAATGTAGATGGTTTAGGAGTTGCTGCTCTTCCTGCAGTTTTTGGATAAAGTCTTGGAGGGCAGGGTCCCTGCCTCAGCCATTCTTGGTTTCCCCATCAGTTCTGGGCACACACCTGGTTGGCACTGCAGTTGTTGACTTGGGAAGCGTCAGCATGTGAGTGGTGATGGAGGGTGGAAGCCAGGTCAGGGCTCCCAGGGAGACCTGCCACGAGGGAGAAGAGGCCGAGCTGGGGCGGGGAAGGGCTGCACAGCAGATGGAGTCCATCAGAGCACGAGCCATTGGACTGTGCCAGAGCAGTCTTGCCATTAACTCCCGAATCTGTCACTCATGTGGTATAGCCTGCCTTTGGGTGGAACTGCCCAGCTCTGGGCTGGAAGGTTGTGTTTTTACAGAGAGTACTTAGCCCATGTATAATTTATGCTTATAGCTTAGGAGTCTTAAGCATAGATTGGAGAAGGTCAGTATGAAAGAAATTATAATGGGGAAGCATCTCATTAAAACAGTTTCTTTTTCATTCCCAACTGTATTTTCTCTGTTCTCTCTCGTGCTTTTTTTTTATCAGACTTGTAAAGAAACCAAGGATGTCAGTGCTCTGACCAAAGCTGCTGATTTTGTGAAAGCCTTTCTTCTTGGCTTTCAGGTGGAGGTGAGTGATTTATGACATCTGAACAAAGTCAGTGTGAGCATTTCAGTGGATTGGTTTTTTTTTTTTTTTTTTTTCCCTTAGTTCCAGGGTTTGTGACTTTTAGTCTCACAGTGCTGTCCGTTTCACTCATTCTCAGTTGTCTAAATGGAGGGGCTTCATGGTATTTGTGTATTCCAGGATGCACTGGCTCTCATCAGATTGGATGACCTCTTCCTAGAGTCTTTTGAAATAACTGATGGTAAGCCTGCTGTGACCTTGTCCTCTGGAATTCTGTTCTTTTGTGTTGCTGTCTTGGTATTTCTTCTGTTGTGGCTCTCACAGTTTTCTCTGACAGCATAGACTGGGGCTGTATTTGTAGCAATTTTTAAGTAATGCGCCTTCTGTGTTACTTAGTAGCGAAAGGGCACTAATAGTTAGACTTTATGTGGCAGCAACAGTGCACTTGATTGACTTGCTACCTGACTTCTCCTCTTTTCTCCTTTAGTTAAGCCCCTAAAGGGAGACCACCTGTCTAGGGCAATCGGAAGAATTGCCGGCAAAGGAGGAAAAACCAAATTCACCATAGAGAATGTGACACGGACACGGATAGTTTTGGCTGATGTGTAAGTATCTGATAAATTGTTATACTTTATGTTTCATTGTTGGCTAGTTTTAAAAAAAGTCAGAACAGTTACATTTTATGCCTACTTTTAACACTCAGTATTTCTCACTACATGTTGAACATCACTTATGTGAGAAAATTTTACAAATCACAGCTTTGTTCTCCTTCAGCAATGAGTTTAGAGTTGCTTTTAGAAGAAATTATGTTATGGATACAGATTTTTTTAACTTTTATTTAATGAATATAAATTTCCAAAGTACAGCTTTTAGATTACAGTGGCTTTTCCCCTCCATAACTTCCCTCCCACCTGCAACCCTCCCATCTCCTGCTCCCTCTCCCCTTCCATTCACATCAAGATTCATTTTCAATTCTCTTTATATACAGAAGATCAATCAGTTAGTATTAGCAGACACTAGTCTTGTTTATGGCGTCAGTAATCACCCTAGGCTCTTGTCATGAGCTGCCAAGGCTATGGAAGCCTTTTGAGTTCGCCAATTCCGATCTTATTTAGACAAGGTCATAGTCAAAGTGGAGTTCTTTCCTCCCTTCAGAGAAAGGTACCTCCTTCTATGATGGCCCGTTATTTCCGCTGGGCTCTCACTCACTCACAGAGATTGTTCATTTAGGTGTTTTGTTTTGTTTTGTTTTGTTTTGCCATGGTGTCTTGGCTTTCCATGCCTGAAATACTCTCATGGGTTTTTTAGCTGGATCCGAATGCCTTAAGGGCTGATTCTGAGGCCTGAGCGCTGTTTAGGACATCTGCCATTCTGAGTCTGCTGTGTATGCCACTTCCCATGTTGGATCATTCTCTCCTTTTTAATTCTATCAGTTAGTATTAGCAGACACTAGTCTTGTTTATGTGATCTCTTTGGCTCTTAATCCTATAATTACTATCAATTATGAACTGAAACTGATCACTTTAACTAGTGAGATGGCATTGGTATATGCCACCTTGATGGGATTGAATTGGAATCCCCTGGCACACTTCTAACTCTACTGTTTGGGGCAAGTTCAGTTGAGCATGTGCCAAACTGTACATCTCCTCCCTCTCTTATTCCCACTCTTATATTTAACAGGGATCACTTTTCAGTTAAACACCTAAGAATAATTGTGTATTAATTAAAGAGTTCAACCAATAGTATTAAGTAGAACAAAAAAAAAAATACGAAAAAGGATAAAGTATTAAGTTGTCCATCAACAGTCAGGACAAGGGCTGATCAAGTCATTGTTTCTCATAGTGTCCATTTCACTACAACAGGTTTCCTTTTTGGTGCTCAGTTAGTTGTCACCGATCAGGGAGAACATATGAAATTTGTCCCTTTGGGACTGGCTTATTTCACTCAGCATGATGTGTTCCAGATTCCTCCATTTTGTTGCAAATGACCAGATTTCATTTTTTTTTTTTTTACTGCTGAATAGTATTCTATAGAGTACATATCCCATAATTTCTTTATCCAGTCTACTGTTGATGGGCATTTAGGTTGATTCTAGGTCTTAGCTATTGTGAATTGAGCTGCAGTAAACATTAAGGTGCAGCTTTTATTTGCCAATTTAATTTCCTTTGGGTAAATTCCAAGGAATGGGATGGCTGTGTTGTATGTTAGGGTTATATTCAGGTTTCTGAGGAATCTCCAAACTGACTTCCACAGTGGCTTTACCAGTTTGCATGGATGAAGATTTAAGTAGCATCATGGAATCTTTTCAATGCGCAAGAGCAAACAGTAGGTGTTTCAAATGCCACTATGGGGCTTTCTTTTTTAAAAAAAGTATCTATTTGCTTTCATATTGAGATGGATACATAATTACATGAGTACAAGAGAAATTTCAAACTTAGTGGTGTAAATGCCATTAAAAGTAAAGTTTATTTTAGAGCAAAGAAATTTTTAAATCTATACATAGTTTTTTTATACTATGCATTCTCCACGAACCTTCTGAAACCCCTTCTCTGTCTCCAGGCCTTTGATGTGCACTGGGTAAGAAACTGGGGAGTGCTCGTTTGTGAACATAAATAAGAGACACTTATCCTGAGGGTGCTGGAAGTGAAGCTGCTCTGTTGGGGGTTGGGGATCCTCACTGGCAGATGGCTCCAAGATTACATAATGTCGTGAAGTTGAGAAATGAAGCCTTGCCGAGAGGAGGGATCTGCCTGCAGCCAAGTTCAGGAACAATTTTATTTAATGTCTCATTTTTCTCTAAACTGTGGGCTCATTGTTATTTAGAACCTAAATTTTAGACATTCTTTATACTTTTAGGGCAGTTACACCACCATGTTTGTGTCCCTGTTTACCTGAAGCTAGATGTATTGTTAGAGTTTTGATCTTTTATACATTGAGCTTTGAGTCTGGAATATGGAGCCATGGGATAAAGCTTTGTGAAATGGGCATTTCAAACACATGGAAATGAACACTACATTTTAATGTACCATGTATAGCCCTAAAAGCTTTTGTTGATTTGGAAATCCAAAGATGTAACTGATTTGCTAATGAAACTGTGGTTAGTATATCATTAAGTTTATAACCTACATAAGTTCACTTAAAATGTACTAGTTAGATTGATTCTTTTAACTGCTTTATTATGGCATAATTTACACACAGTGAAATGGACCTGTTTTAAGTATCCAATGAGGTGCTTTTGGATTTTGATTAATTTATTGATTTGCAATGCAGAGAGAATGTTCCCATTTACTAGTTCATTTCTGAAATGCTCACAGTGGTCCACAGATAGGGCCAAAGCCAGGAGCCAGGAATTCATTCCAGATTTCCCACATGTGTGGTAGACTCGCAATCAGTAGAGCCACCACCACTGCCTCCCAGGGTCAGTCAGCAGGAAGCTGGAGTCAGGAGCCAGAGCTGGAGCCTGATATCAAACCTAGGCCCTCCAAGACGGGACACAAGCATCTTAACCACTAGGCAAAGCACATGCTGCAGTTCATTGACTTTTTGGCCAGCGTGATAGAATCCTGTCACCCCACCACACTCCCAGTTCCATCACTGTACAGGTTCCCTTGTGTGTCTTTGCCATCAGTCGCCTTCCTGTACCCTGTTCCCAAGTAACTACTGCTCTGTTTCTGTGCCTATGGGTTTGTCTTTTCTAGAAATTCATATAAATGGAAATACAGTATGTAGGTTTTGGTGTGTCACTTCATTTAATCAGGATGTGTTTTAAATCTTCATTTTTTGGGGGTGTTTTGGCAGTTCCTTTTATTGGCAAGTGCTGGTCCATTCTGTAGAAGTGTTGCATTTTGTTTATCCATTCACAATTATTGAGCATTTGCTTTCATTTTGGAGCTAACTATGAAGAACATTGCTATTGAATTACTTTATCTTAGTATTTTTCTTTCAAACTGAATTATTATACACTATTTGAAATTAAAGAAATGTATTTTGTAGGGTTGCTATAAGTAGGCTAGTTGGAAATCTGTATGTTTGACAGTTTATATTTATTATGATGTCACCATAAAATGGACTGTTATGCACCTGTAAAAGTTTTCTTGTTCAGTGAGTTGTTAATCACCTGGCAAGTAAGAGTACAGGGTAAGCAAGATACAAAACTAAAACCAATTTGTTCCAGATATAGCCAGCAGACCAGATGGGAAGCAGTGCCGCCTGTGTGTCTTCAGGCCTGTATTTCTTTCCAACTGTTACCTCATTACTTGGGTTCTTTTAGTAGCACAACTACTCACACTTATCTTTTCATGTTGCCTCCGTTTCCTCTTTTGTCTTCTACTTTAAATATTTATCAGTGCAAGGCATACATAGACAATGTCTACTGCCTTCCTCTATTCCACCCTCCTTGCAAGAGCTAATTTCAACACTGGCTGATTTTTAAAAGTTATTTATGGCTATAATCCCGCAAATTTTGCTTACATACAGCTTCTTGATTTATTTTTCAGATTCATTGGTGATTTTCTGCCATAAAAGTTGAAGCCTTCTTTCATCCCTTTGCTTCCTGCGCTGTATACACCCAGTATTTCTAACACTTACCCTCACACAGCCACCTCACCTTGGTGCTTCTGTTAGACCAACGTTCAGTGTTGTGTGAAGACAGGACTCAGTGTTCAATACATTCGAAACTGAGCTAGGGAAAATCCTGTGATACCTTTGCTTTGCAACTTTGCTGTCCCCTGAGAAGGTAATTGTTAGGTGCCTGTGTGCTGTCTTTTTTTTTTTTTTTTTTTTTAAATATTTATTTTATTTATTTGAAAGAGTTACAGAGAGAGAGGTCTTCCATCTGCTGGTTCACTCCCCAGATGGCTGCAACGGCCAGAGCTGCACCGATCTGAAACCAGGAGCTTCTTCCAGGTCTCCCACATGGGTGCAGGGACCCAAGGACCTGGGCCATCCTCTACTGCTATCCCAGGCCATAGCAGAGAGCTGGATCAGAAGAGGAGCAGCGGGGACTAGAACCAGTGCCCACATGGGATGCCAGTGCTTCAGGCCAGGGCATTAACCCGCTGTGCCATAGCACCATCCCCACATGTGCTGTCTTGATTTTCAGTGTCATAATTTAGTGAAAGCTATCCGTCATTTGTAGCTCCTTGTGGCATAGTCAGATGTATCCAGCATTTCAGAATCTCTCCTGGAGCCTTCTGTTCCAAAAGCACTCCCTCCCACTCTGCCCTCATCCTGGGTTCTGCTTTCACTGTTGCCCCTTTTGCTGTTAGAGCCTCCTGGGCCATACTGTCTCTTTCCTGGTGTTCTGCTCAATGTTCCCACTGCCAGTTTAGCTGTAACTTTACTGGGGTCTGAGAAGTCACTTCCCACCCACCTGCTTCCACCTTCTTGGATTTTCTTTCTTTGGATTTATGACTGTGGCCATTCTGGAGTGGCACTGGGGGAAGGAGCCCAAGTGTATGTATGTGTCCAGTCTATCCACAGGGGTCTGGAAAGGAAGAAAGCACCACTGGCAAAGAGCAGGCAGGCCTGGTGCACTCACGGAGTTCATCACTGTAGGTGTTAAAATAATGGGGCTGTGAGGTTATGGTGAGCACTTTGGCTTTTACTCTGGGTGAATGGGAGGTCCATGGATGACTGAGCAGAGAAGGGGGTGGTAGGATGTCAGGGCAAAGACAGCCTGAGGTGGGGAGGATCCATAGATCAGAGGGTTATTGATATTTGTGAATTAGGTGGTGAGACTTGGAATGATAGATGTTGAGTGATAGAGTGGGAGTAGAGTATTTGAAATTGAAGTCATGGAGGGTTTTAGAACTAGGTATGACCACGGACGGAAGAGGATGGAGTAGCATGGGAGAAAAGATCCAGTATTGGTGTAAAGGATGTGACCTGAGAGGCTAGGGTTTGGTAGTTAGCTGACTTCTCAGATAGTGAAACTTTAGGAATCATGATGGGAGCAGTCAGAGAACAGAGAGCCAGGAGATAAAGTCTTTGAGAATGATACACAAGGGCAGCCATGGACCATGGCAAGTAGGGTGTAGGTGACACGGTATGGAGAGAGCAAACCCAAAGCTCAGTGCTGGAGGGCAGTGAGTGGTCTGCATGTGGCATGAGGAGCCAGGAAGGCACCTGCCCCTTCTCTAGGACTGATGGTACATGGTTTGTGGAGGTAAAACCAGCCACTAATTGAGAGCTGTTTCAGCAAGAAGCTAAAGGGATTATTAACAGAAGTTTGCAATAAAGAGGATTTAAACAGTAACTATTAATAGAGGGCACAGTGGAAACATTTTGAAGATAGAAAGTCAAAATTCTTTATTATCAACCTTATTTCAGTCAGTCAGTGGAGATACTCAATAAAAAGGTCTGAGTGATCCTCAGGGTAGTGAAGCAATTTAAATAATCTTTAGGAAGCTGTGAACTTGAAACCAAATATGTTGTAATTAACTATAACATTACTTGCATTTCTGGGTATTCAGTGACCAGCTCTGCTGACGTGTGGTCTTGGACAGATTTCTAGATTTCTGTTAAATGTCTTTCCTCATCTGTACAATGGAATAACACTTGTCTGTCTAAAGTCATGTGAGGATTAAATGAGCTGTGTGCAAAACCCCAGCATATAGAGAGGACTCACTGGATGGTCACCATAAAGGAACTTTTTGGTTTTTTCTTTTTTTTAATTGGGTATAATTCACTTACCATAAAATGCACCTTTGTAGAGTAACTTTTAGTGTGTGTATGGAGTTTTCCAGCTATCACCCCTGCCTGCTTTTAGGAAAAATATCTATCATAAGTTTCCAGAACTTTTTGAATGATAGGACTTAAGGAAGAAGTGCTTTTTGTTGCTACCTTGTCTCATTTTGTCTTTCAGGAAAGTTCACATCCTTGGCTCTTTCCAAAACATCAAGATGGCGAGAACTGCCATTTGTAACCTCATCCTGGGTAAGGGCAGTTTCTGTGCTGGTCTCTCTGGAAAGCATGGAGAATTTAGGAACTGAAACCACATTTGCAAAGCTGTGACAGTAGAAACTTTGAGAGTTGGCAAATGTGGATGTAGAGAAGGAAGGAGGAATGTTAGTATTTTTGCTTAGAGTCCAGTTGTCTGCTAGAGGAGAGAAGGGAGGTATTGGCTGATAAAGCTTGACTGCTGCTTTCCCCACGGGAGTGCAGAGAGCCATTCGAGCATAGCAGGGGGCATCGTTTTTGGGTAACGGAAAGGGCGCTGCAGAATGGCCTCTGCAGCGTAACTGAGCGGCTGGACCGCCCTGTCAGCACCCAGCAGCACAGGCAGGAGCGTCCGAGTGTCGGGGCTGCAGAGCTTGCTCAGGGAACACATGGGGTTTTCCCGGGTGCCCCGGTCTGACAAGATTGGCTTCTTTGGAAATATTTTGACAAATGGGTGCCTTTGGCTCTTAGAAATTGCAGACACCTTTTGGAGAATACTTGGGTATGACTTCCTGTGAGATACTTCTGATAATTTAAAAATAGATCCAAATTTTAAAAGATCTTGCTGTTTTTCAGGTTGTAGACGCTCCCTCCATGTAGTTTTTCCACGTGTGAAGACATGTGTTTCAGCTTTTTTTTTTCCTTTGCAGGAAATCCTCCCTCAAAGGTTTACGGCAACATTCGAGCTGTGGCTAGCAGAGCAGCAGATCGATTCTGATGCCAACTCTGTGCCTTTTCATCTTGTCTTTGGACTCTCTAAAGAAAAAGACCTGCCATTCTACAGGCTGCACAGGAAACCATGTCACGTTGAGCCCGCGTCCCTTCATTCTCAGCCAGACGCATAAATACCAAGGTTTAACCGTGTTTACCCTCAGTAGCTTTCAGGGCAACACAGATGTCAACATCTAACGCTGTTAATATGTATAATCTTTTCATTTTAAAGGACATGTAGCAGATTCATATCATACATAAATCTCTTATTTGGCAGGAACTTCTGGTTGGCTTAAATATGTATGAATGTGTTAGTTTTTATTTATAAATTTATAGCTTTTTATGAATTTATAAACATCTCTTCTGTATAAATTGTAATTAAAAGAATCATTTCAGGAAACCGCTGTGAATCATGACTCTTAGAGGTGGGGGCTTGGTGACTTTTTTCATTAGGTCAAGCAGCTGTACGAACCAGTAAGCACTCATCTTTATACAGATTTTTTTTTTTTAGATATTTTTTTTTACTTGAAAGTCAAGTTACACAGAGAGAGGAGAGGCAGAGAGAAAGAGAGAGGTCTTCCATCCACAGGTTCACTCCCCAAATGGCCGCAACGGCCAGAGTTGCACTGATCTGAAGCCAGGAGCCAGGAGTTTCTTCCAGGTCTCCCATGCAGGTGTGGGGGCTCAAGGACTTGGGCCATCTTCTGCTTTCCCAGACCACAGCAGAGAGCTGGGTTGGAAGTGCAGCAGCAGGGTCTTGAACCGGCGCCCACATGGGATGCCGGCACTGCAGGTGGGGGCTTTACCTGTTACGCCACAGCATTGGCCCCTTTATATGGATTTTGTAGTTAGTAAAGACCTCCTTCAAAAGATTAATGGGAGAGTTTTATTTTTTTTTCAAGTAGTTAAGCAAAGTACTCAGACATGACCAGTGTTAGGTAATTTCTTCTTTATAGTAATCATGAAATGGCAAAAGAATGTTTTTCCCCTAAGAAAACTTCTGCAGTTACAATAGTTTTTGTTGTTAATATTGGAAAGGCAGAGTAACAGAGTGAAGGAGAGAAAGATTTCCATCTGCTGGTTCACTGCCCAAATGACTGAACAGCCAGATCTGGTCCAGGCAAAGGCTAGGCCAGAACTCCATGTGGGTGGCAGGAGTCCAGGTACTTGAGCCATCATCTGTTACCTTCCCAGGGACGTTAGCAAGGAGCTGGATCAGAAGCAGAACAGCCAGGACTAACACTGACACTCCATATTCAAAGTTTTGACTAGCATGTAGTAGGTACTTTTCTGGGAACTGTTTCCACAGCTTTCATCAGGCTTTCAAGGCACTAGGCTGAAAGGAACCATCACTAGGTATTGATGTTCGGCATCAGCAAGCAACTGAGGCCCCAAATTAATAACATCAACTTGGGACAATCTGTTCTCTATTTTTAAAGTAAGATGTTTTGGTATTTTTAAAATTTATTTTAAAATCTCTTATGTAGTCAACTCTCAGTAATAAAGAGAACAAATACAGTTGCCTGACAGGGTTAGTCCCCATGGAGTTGGGGCACTTTTTAGGAGGTGGGTCTAGTGGGAAGTCTTACGGTTCCTGAGGATGTGAGGTGGTCATTATTGCAAGAGGGGGGTTATAAAAGCCTGAGCTTGAGACCTGCTGAGGTGTGGCAGTTTGAGCTACCACCTGTGACACTGGCATTGCCTACAGGAAAGTCTTTTCTAGTCCTGTCTGCTCTGCTTCCTAATGGGCCTGGGAAGGTAGCAGATGATGGCCCAAGCACTTGAGCTGCTGCTATACAAGAGAGACGAAGATAGGTGTTCCTGGCTCCTGGCTTTAACCCGGCCCCCATCTGGCTATTGTACCCACTTGAGGAGTGGATCAGCTGATGGGATGGGAGATCTATCAAATAAGTAAATCTTTGGTTCAGGGGAGGAAGCCTGAGTTTGGGCTCAACCACTCTTTGCTTCCTATTTCACTATGTGATCCTTCCTCCATGTGCTCCCATGGACCTCCCTGCCAAAGCCAAAGCCTTTGCCATGCCTCTCCAACTGTGATCTTAGTACTCTTCATAAATTAGCTGCCTTTTTATAGTAATGGGAAACTGATATAGGCATATACTCAGGTTGAACTGCTGGATCTTAGGGTGCTTAGTATTTTTTGGGAAATGCTGCAGTTTCCATAGTGGCTATACCATTTTCCATTCCCACTAGCAATGCACAAGGCTTCCTGTTTCTCCACATTTCTCCAAGGTTTTCTGAAAATTTTTTTGGGGGGAGCATAATAGTGCACCTTAATGGGGATAAAGTGGTATCTAATTATCTTCAGTTGCATTTCTCAAATCACATATCTTTCCATGTGCCTCTTGGCCTTCTGTATATCTGTTTTACTATTCAAGTTTGTTGCCCATATTTTAATCAGGTGTTGATATATGGTTTGCAAGTATTTCTTACTACTCTGTGTGCTGGTATTTCACTTTATGAAGCGTCATCCACTTTAAAGACTTACAAATTAGGTAGATAGGAGTTGGGCTGGCACTCCCTATATGGGCACCAGTTCATGTCCCTGCTGCTCCACTTCCTGTCCAGCTCCCTGCTAATGGTCTGGGAAAAGCAGCAGAAAGATGGCCTGAATCCTTGGGCTCCTGTCACCCACATAGGAGACGTGGAAGAAGCTCCTGGCTCTTAGCTTCAGCCTGGTCCAGCCCTGGCCATTGCAGCCATTTGGGGAGTGAACCAACCAGTGGATTGAAGCTCGCCTTCTTCTCTAACGGCCTTTCAAATAAATAATCTTTAAAAATAAATAAATAAAAGGGAGATGTGACTTTGTGCCACCTACCTGCTCAGGATTTACAAGCTTAACTCCTAGGATACCCTAAGGAGCCGCAGATCATTTGCATAGTATCTCACTAGTGTGCACTTGACAATATGGATGTCCTCAAAAAATATAATCCTTACCTTTTATGCGCAGTGACAAAAGTACTGAAAAGTGTTATGAATTCAGTCTGTAAATAGGGCGTAGGTTTAATTCATTATTTACTGGGCAGTCACTAAGAACTGGCTATTCTTCTGGACAACTGGGGCTATCAGTGAACAAGACAGATCTCGACCTTTGTGGAGTGGAGAGCTTTTATTCAACAGCCAATTAAGACAAATATACAGACTCACAGAAAAGGACGAATGCTGTGGGAAGGGGAAAAAATGAAGTGGGAGAAAGCCCAGATACATTTGTATTTTAAAGTAGAGCAGGCAGGACATACCTGAACAAAGCCTTGAAGGCGTGAGCTAAGAGACTGGGAAGTCTGAGGTGGTAGCAAGCCAAAGGCTGCATGTGCCACAAGGAGCTCAGGTGGCTGGGGCAGGGCAGAGCAAACGATAGTAGTAAAGGAAGAGATGAGGGCAGGGAGGGGCGGAGGCAGAGTTGTTCTCCAGGGCTTTGTAGTGACTTCTTGCCTCTTACTCAGTGATAAAGCATCTTTATCCATGCCCTGCAGATTCAATACTGCTTCACTGGTTGTTGTTGTTGTTGTTGTTTTTAATAAAGAATTAAAACTATGGCTGTGAAAGTCCACCAAAGACTACTGAATACATTCAAACAAGTTTCAAATATTTTATTTTCTTATTCATACAGTATGAAGTTTTCTAAAGATCCCACAACATGACATATCATGCAGAAGAAAAACTAAACATTCAACATAAACCACCCCATCCCTTCCCCACCCCCACACACAAACTAAAAAAAGAAAAAAGAAACAAAACAAAACAAAACAAAAAAACAAAAAAAACCCAGAGAGAAACCCTCATTCCCCAGTAAGGAAATAATGTTTGCACTATTTTTCTGTAACGCCAGCCAAGATATGCACAAGCAAGAGAAATAGAAAGCATTTGCTAAAATATTTGTAACAAATACTTATGTACAAAAAATTCACAAAAGACTAGTTCCCCCTTGAAGCAGAGCACATGGCAGTTGACACTGGAACAGATCAAACCACTGGCTGGGACTTTAAGCCACGTACTGATCCAGAGGAAGAAAGTTACATGTAGTGGAGATTTTCAGTTTGAACATTAACATTTCCAAAGTTTGGCAACATTATCTTTTAAAATTATGCAAATTATGTAAACAAGAGGTACATTTTAAATCGATCTACATGCAAAACTCCATGTCATGCAAGGACACCAAGCACCGGGATTTTTCTCTCACAGACAGAGCCCATGATGTGCAGCACTCAGTTGAAGGAACAGCGATGGCAGGCAGGTGTGCTCAATTTAATAAGATTCATTCACCCTGATTCAACCCGCCCTTTTCCACTCTTGATTATAAAACCAGTTTTTATAGAAAAACTATATAGGGGAAGACTACTATCGTATAAAGCTAACTGAAACGTTTTCTTCCAGCCAATAGTACCTTTGCAGAAAAGGGAAGGGATAATATCAAGTGGTGGAAATGATAACACTACTTTTATATCACACACATTTATTAAGTTAGCATCCATTACCAAATACACGGGCAAACCAAGAAAAAACCATCATGCACTCTCTATGCCTTGTGGAAAAGACATTTACGAGGTATAAATTTAGATAAATTTTGCTCTTCTGTGGCATATAGATTAGCAAGATTTCTCCCATTTGAATCACAAATATATGTGGGTGTCTAGATACATACATGCACGTTAAATATCACCATTTTTAAAGATTAGCTGCAAAGTCTTGCGCAACACAGAAGGGAAATTCATGGTTCAAACACAAGTTTAATGACAAATTATTTACCCATGTAATGAAACAAATGGATGTCCTAAGCAGGTACATGATTGCTTCAGGTATCCTTCATAAAATAACCTAGCAGATAAACCATAATTGCCTCAGATAGCTTCTGGCCTTTATAGAGAATCACAACTGGTAACATTTATTCGGGGACATCTGATAAATGCAACGGCTCCTAGTTACTAAGTAACAGAATGAAGCAGCCATAGCATTATGCAGTTACTATATTGAACACAAGAACTAGCTCTTGGCAGTAGCACTGAACTATACTTTCTCCTCAAGCAGAGATGGATTTAAAGCTGCTCAGAAATGAGACACAGTCCCTAGAAATATATTCGTAGGTATAAATAAAGTTAGACACTTTTGTTACAAAAATGTAATTAAGGTAAAATAATAGGACGTTAACAAATGCTTTGTCAATCTCTCAAAGGAGAAAGCACAGAAAAAGGAAAATAGCTGGCCTAACACCTGGTTCAAATTGTACAATCTTCTATCTATATATAAAATTGTGTGAAATAAAAGTAAGGATGCTGTATGTTCTGCTTGGCACTTTAGTACTCTATCATTTTGTTTCTGAATCAAGTATATTAAATTAAAAGCCAACCTACTACATATATAGAAAGCTACATATATCTATATATAAATATTTACATATGTATATATAGATACTTTCTTGTTATAAAAGATGAAGAAAAATAAATTAAAAAGCCAACCCTTCCCTTTCTCCACCACAATGATATGCTCTTCTCATGCTGCTGTCCTTCAGACTGTAAAGTGCTACACTGAGTTATTGAGAGAGTAAGAGTTCAATAACACTTAGTTGGCTTCATGAGGCTCATGTTGGAAAATGTGGCTTCACAGAGAAAAATACTTCCATTTAAATACACAGAGAGCATTGCTGGACGTCTTGAGCAGATCTTCAGAGATGGAGAAGAAAGCAAAAGTGTTGGGTGGTGCTCTTTAAAGAGTCACACGTCTACCACCATCTTTTTGTGGATATCTAGGCCACCTACAACCTGCAAAGATAGAACAAATCCAGCTTAACAATATTTGGGAAACTACTTTTTAGTTGCTAACCATCCTATCGCAACTATAATTCCAAAAAAACACATTATTTGAGCAGTTCAAAAAAACTTTAAATATGCTCCCAAAACTGCTGAAGAAGCATATTCAAAAACAATTTTTTGAATGGTCACCAGTAGAATTTTCATAGCTCCTTTCTCCTAGGATATAGACTGTTTTTCTGTAGTCTAGGATAAGGGTGAGCACATTTGTTCTGTAAAGAGCCAGAAAGTAAATATTTTAGGCTTTGTAGGCCACATAGTTTCTTCTACATTTTTTTTTTGTTTAAAAAGACAACACTGTAAAAACTGGGAGACAGCATTGTGGCACAGTGGGTTAATTACTGCTTATGATGCCTGCATCCCATACGAGCACTGCTTTGAGACCTATCTATCCTGAACCATCTCCCTGCCAGTGTGCTTGGGAAGCTAGTGGAAATGGCCCGTGTGCTCGAGTCCATCACCTGTAGAGGAGACCTAGATGGAATTGCAGGCTCCTGGCTTCTGCCTGGCCCAGCCCCAGCACTTGTGGCCATTTGGGGAACAAACCAGCAGACACAAGATTTCTCTTTCCCTCTCTCTAACTCTGCTTTCCAAATAAATGAAAAATAAATACAAAGGTAAAAATCATTCTTATCTCAAACACAAAGAAAAACAAGTCACGGGCAGAATTCAGCCTGCTCTGCAGTTTGTTGGGCCCTACTCTACAAACCTAGTATCACAAGATAACCAGATGTCACCCTAAAAATTACCCCCCAAAATAAAACATGACCTTCACTGTCAGCCTCCTAGAGGATATTAGGGTTGAAAATGAATAAAATGTCCTGCACGTTACTTTTGCACGGAGTTAAATATATTTAGAGTTATATATTCATATATCTCAGAGAATACTGACATGGTAATCTATTTAGGGGGATGTTTTATTAAGTATAACCTATGTAAAGTGAGAACATTAAGTTAAAAATGTCCACATTCTGATGAAATTTCACAAAATGAACACACAAGTAATCAACGTTTACATTCTTAGCAGAATTTCTCTCTGGCTCCCTTCCAGGCACAGGCCTTCTCACCTCTTCTTATCTCAAACCCCAGCAACACCCCCAACACACACAAGTGCTAGAACCATTATTTTGACCCTTAACACATAGTTCAGTTTATTAAATTTATTTGTTTATTTGAGAGGTAGAGTTACAGAGAGAGGTCTTCCATCTGATGGTTCATTCCCCAATGGCTGCAACTGCTGGAGTGGGCCAATCCAACACCAGGAGCTAGGAACTTCTGGGTCTCCCATGCAGATGCCAGGGGCCCGAAGATTTAGGCCATCTTCTACTGCTTTCCCAGGCCAAACAGAGAGCGGGATCAGAAATGGAGCAGCCAGGAAATGAACTGGTGCCCATACGGGTTACTGACACTGCAGGTGGAAGCTTTACCTGCTATGCCACAGTGACAGCCCCTCTTTGCGTACATCTTATAAAGAGAATCTCTTTAATGCTCGGCTGCTTTAACTCCGTGAGTTTAATCCGTGTTGTTGAGTACAGTTACATCTATGTTATTTTTTAAAACTTTTATTTGAAAAATCAAGCACAAAGAGCCAATTAATTCTAAAAGCGCTGTGATGAAAACAGCAGTTCGTTACTCTTTCATTTTAAGCAGAGGCAACCACTTAAAACTTTCACTGTTTACCTCCAGATCTCCAAATGACACCCCCATGTCAATTTTCCTTAATTTAAAGCTTTTCCCATTTTCTATTGACTTCCCATAATAGAAGGTGAAGATTTAACTCCCGTGCTCCTCTACCTCTGATTTTCTAACCCCATAAATCCCCACTTGTTGCACCATTCCAACAGTTATCTTTACCTTGATTAGAAAGAAACTCAGTCTTACATTGTTATGACTATATAAAATATTGTTAAGAGCCAACCAGGAAGGCACACATAGTATGATTACTTCTTCTTTTCTGCATATTAATTTTGGTACAGTTGACAATTTTAAGATGTTTTCCTTTGATAAATGTTCTATGAGTATGATTAATTCAACCCTAAACTTGTTAGATATATTCAAATATGGGGTTAGCACTGTGGTGCAACAGGTTAAGCTACACCTTTAACATCCACATCCCACAGGAGCACTTGTTTCAGTCCCAACTGCTCCATTTCTTATCCAGCTCCCTGCTAAGCAGTCAAAGATGGTCCAAACACTTGGGCCCCCGGATTACGTTCCTGACTTGAGCCTAGCCTAGCCCAGTCCTGGCTGTTGCAGCTATATGGGGAGTGAACCAGTGTATGGAAGATCTCTTCCTCTCTAACTTTGCATTCAAATAAATAAATCTTTTTAAAAAATACAAATATATCATGTAATTCTATCCTGTCTGAGAAGCACTTCCAAAGTCTTCAGACCTGCTCCAACCTCACCTGCACTCTAGGTCCATCCTCTTTGGATCTTTCTTCACCATCACCCTGGAGTCCCCTCCCCTGCCTTGCTCATGTTAAGATCCTCTGCTTCCTGGATCCTCTCAACTAGCTTCTTTTTGCACCCTTAATCCAGTGGAAGCACATCCTCCAAATGGTCACCAAAAAAGGGCCGCCTTACAAACCTGAAGATGACTTCATTTTACCTCTAATGTCACTGAGTTTGTAGAGAAGTTTAGGTTGGATATAGTGTCCCTCAGAATTACAAAGGTAATGCTCCACCATCTTCTGCTTTCCAATTCTGCTGAGAAACTTTACCATCATGATTCTTGATTGTTTTATGAAGCTCCTCTTCACTCCTCCACACTACCACCTCAGCTTGGTAAATGCACAGAACCACTTCTGTTTTGAAATTATATGACAAGGTGCCCAGGTCCATATTATTTTGTTTATACTAACTATGCTGGGAACTCAGCAGGTCCTTTCAGTCAGGAAATATACTATTCCTGGTTTTGAGGTATTTTCTTGATTTTTTTTGACGATTTTATTTTTCCTTCTGAAAACCCACAAATCCAGGTGTCACAACTCCTAAAATGGATCTCTAAATACAAAGGGCTCTTCTATATATCATCCAGTTTTCCTTCAAGAGTCAATATATTATATCCCTGAGAATAATGATGACAGGATTTTATTTTGCTTTTAAAGATTTTACTGGCTTTGCCTAACCTGCTTCTTCCCTCCTTTTTCTTTCTGTGTTCCTCATTAGAGGTTTTCCTCCACTGCCTGGTGATCCTTGGTGCTACTTCTGTGGAAAGAACACTTGGACCTCCGTGTACATGATGGGGCTGCCGACTGTAAGCTACACTTGCATGATATATTGGGATCATTTCTTTAAGGAGCTAAGATTTCTCAAGAAAGCTTTCCTCTCTCTGGCCTGGAAAGTGTTAAGTTTAGCTGCCACAGAGTCAGGTCCAGAGCAGGCTAGACAGAGGTGTCAACATGCACATGTTTATTTTCACTTAATTCATCAACTCTCTCACACACACGCACGCACGCACACACACATACGCTCTGCCTCATGTTTCCCAGTCTACAGACTCTCCTCCATTTCCAGCTAGGGTGAATCAATCCATCTCATTTTATTGGAGTTTTAGAAGAAAGCAAAAATAAACAAGTGTTCAACCCATCAACTTTCATCCTGTCACTAATCATCTAAAAATTCTCTGAAAAAAATTTTTAGTGTTTCTTTTCACATACTTGAAGGCAGATTGTCAACAAGAGAGATGGGTCAATAGAGACAGAGAAAGAGAGAATGAATCAATGTTCCATTTACTGGTTCATTCCTCAAATGCCCACAACAACCAGGGCTAGGCCAGGCTAAAGCCAGGAGCTTGGAACTTCATTTGGGTCTCCCAATAGGGGTACAAGCACATTAGCCATTATCTGATGCCTCCTACAATGGCATTAAAAGAAGCAAAGTTGGAAAAGGAGTAGCTGGGAAAAAAAACAAGCATTCTGATGTGAGATGTGGGATTCCCAAGCAGTGGCTTAATCTGTCGCACCACAATGTCTACCTGCTTCTGAAAATTTTTAGAGTAGATATACAGTATGTAATCTTTTAGGCTAACTTTTCCCATCTTTTTCACTGTCATAGCTTGAGAAGTCAAAAAAAGAACTCAATGAAGCCAAATTTAGGGGCCTGATGAATTTTAGGAAAGTTAGTTTCAAATATAAAACAGACATTTTTCCTCATTCATAAACTATATCCCTCAAAAATACAAGGCTATTTATCACAAATATTAAAAACAAATTCAAAACTTAGCTTATTTCTTCAGTGTAAATAATAGCCATATTCCTATGAAAAGCTGTATTTTAATTTCCTTCCATTGACAAGTGCACTTGTATCTGCTGCATTGTTTCCTGACTGAAAGCAGACTTCATTTATATGCATCCTCTCCACAGCACTTCGTCCCAGAGTTTCCCATTTATTTTGTTCCCCCAAGGCTTGGGATTTCTTTTCTTTCCTTCTTTTGAAAATGGCTACATCTATGATGTCACTACCGCCTAGTCGCACGTCACCCCTACCCAGGAGTCTGTCAGTGATCTTTGGCAATGGTGAAGGAGGAGAAATGGAAGGGATAGCAGATAGTTGTAGCAGTACTTCCTGAAAAAAGGTCAGAATCTATAGTCTCAAATCTATCAAACTCTTCCAAAAAGATGTGATCTGTGCTTTATCCTACAGTACCACCTCATTTGCTGAAACAAAATACAAAAATAAGAACTCCCTTATGATGAAAGAAGATGCTAAAAGAATATTAACTTCTACTGAAATCACTTCAACTCTTAATACACAACTTAATACAAAAAAGTATTCAGTCATAAATGAATGGAGAAATTTCAAAACCTTTTGTTATCTTTGGTTCTACTGTGGCTACTCTTGTATTCTGTGGTAGCGTTAGCATGCAGGAAAAAAATCTTTCTAACACATCCAAAAGCTCCTATCTTTGTTGTATGGGAATAATTAGAGAAGAGAAGCTGAGTGGTCAAGTTCCAGTTTGGATGCAATGATTCATAGGAAATCCCTGGATTCACTGAAGAAAAGTAATCAACTGGGAAGTCAAGCTGTTGTCCCAGCTTCCACAGAGTTCATTTTGTAGGGCTCCCTATTAGTGTCATCACCACCTTCACACAGAGCTTAGCAGGTAAGTTCATTTTGTTCCCATGAAGCCAAGTTTCTGGTATTCTCAGCAAAAAATTCATAATCATGTCTTCCTAAAAAGGTATTTTGAAACATGTTTATTTTTAAATAAACCTTAAGATTACAACCTACTTGTAACCTGGAAGCTATCAACAATAAATAAGTTACTAGTACTTCTTTTGGCATCTTATCTGAGTGCACTATATCCTGAGAATAACAATTTTATAACTAACAATTATCAAATGCACACATTTTAAACTGAATATGGAACTTTGAAATAAAAATCACATATATAAATTTTTAGGGCAAAATACCTTTAAGAAATACCCTTATGTGGCTTTGAAAGCATGTTTTTGAAACATAACTAATAGAAGAACCAGCTCTTTTGTACTTACTGCACAGAATTCCTCAAAGGATATTCTTCCATCTCCATCTTTATCTGCGTTTATTATGGTTTTGTCTACAATTTGCTGTAACTGTGTGTCTTTCAGATTGTTCCCCACCATCATCTTTAACACCTGGAAGAGTTCCCCGTTGGAAATATAGCCATCTTTATCCATGTCATAGATACGGAAAGCAACTGAAAAGAGGAGGGAAAATTCATGGCAATCACTAAATGAACACTTTTGAGAAAGGAAAGAATAAATTGCCAAACATCTAGAATTATGACTATGGAGATGGCACCTTCCTAAATACAGAAGCAACAAGCTGCAATAACATACAATTCAAATATCCTGTAAGGATTCTCACCAGAAGGTGAAATTTCTGTTATCTCTAAAAATCTGGAATAAAAGAGATCTTTCAGAAGATTTTAAAACTAGTTTATAATACAGCATGGAATGGTAACGGAAGAAGATGGAAAAAGAAGTCAGTAAAGACAAATACTTACACCTCAACTTCTGTTCCTTATCTCCTTTGACACTGAACTGAGAGACTCCCTCAATGAATTCTGAATAAGAGTGAAAATAAAAATTTTCAGTTTTTTGCACTAAAAATTTTATGTTAAAAATTCAGAGGGCATTTCCTTGCCACAAAAGAAATTATCATCATTAGCAGTATTAAAACTGAAAATGCCAAAGTTCTTCTGACGTATGTTTTTTCTTATTTGAACCTGGAATGCTAAGATTGATCAATTTGAAAAAATATTTGTTTAATACCACAAAGCATAACATTCATAAACATATTCTTTATTTAGATTCTTTCCTTTTAGAATATGACTGCAAAAAGGGCTTTAAAAAAAAAAAGACTACCGGGGTGGGCATTTCAGAGTACTGATTATAGAGTCCCAGCTATTCCACTTTGCAACCAATTCCCTGCTCAAGCACTTGGGAAGTAGCGGATGATCACTCAAGTACTTAGTTCCTACCAACCCTGTGGAAGACTTGGATGAAGCTCAGGCCGGCGCCGCTGCTCACTAGGCTAATCCTCTGCCTTGCGGCGCTGGCACACTGGGTTCTAGTCCCGGTCGGGGCACCGGATTCTGTCCCGGTTGCCCCTCTTCCAGGCCAGCTCTCTGCTGTGGCCAGGGAGTGCAGTGGAGGATGGCCCAAGTCCTTGGGCCCTGCACCCCATGGGAGACCAGGAGAAGTACCTGGCTCCTGCCTTTGGATCAGCGCGGTGTGCTGGCCGCGGCGGCCATTGGAGGGTGAACCAACAGCAAAGGAAGACCTTTCTCTCTGACTGTCCACTCTGCCTGTGATCTCAAGAAACAAACAGAAAAAAAGGGATGAAGCTCCTGGCTTCAGCTTTGCCCAACCAAGGCCACTGTGGCCATTTGGGGAGTAAACCACAGGATAGAAGATACCTCTCTCTCTCGCTTTGCATGTCAAATAAATAAATGAATCTTTAAAAAAATACTTGTACTTGTTTCATAATAAAAAATAATTGCAGACTTCCATTCCAAAATTCAGAATCAGTTAAATGTGCTGGAGGGGAGAGAGGAGGAACTGATGCTGTGGTGCAGTGGGTAAAGTTGCTGCCTGTGGCACCAACATCCCGTATGAGCACCAGTTGGAGTCCCAGCTGCTCAACTTCCAATCCAGCCCTCTGCTAATGTGCCTGAGAAATCAGTGGAAGATCCCAAATCCCTGGACCTCTGTACCCACATGGGAGACTCGGATGAAATTCCTGGCTTCTGGCTTCAGCCTGGCCCCATCCTGGCCGATGTGGCCATTTGGGAAGTGTGCCAGCAGATGGAAACTTCGTTTCTCTCTCTCTTAAGCTCTGCCTTCAAATAAATAAATAAATCTTTAAAAAATATATATATACGCTGTGGGAAGTTTCATGACAAAAGGTCATTCTTCATCATTTTAATTTTAAAAGCACCATTGTTTGTAAAAGCTAAATTAACTAAAATAAATAAATCTTGTTGTAACATAATGTTCACATCCTAATTACTACTTCTTATATTTTTTAATGTTGGTCTCACTGTTTAAGTTTCTTCTTTAAATTCAGTTTCTAATATTGTAAATTGTCCTAAACTGAGATTAATCTTCTAAAAACAAAGGAAATACTAATTCCCTCCGTTTTGTGGACTACCCTAAAGGACAACTTGATCATTTATGAACCAAAAAGTAAGGATCTTAGTTCATTAAGGTACAACATCCAAAATTTTCAGATTTTAACATAATTTATAAGATCACCAAGAAAAACATTTTCCAGTTATTTTTATACATAGAGCCAACCAGAGGTTGTCTAAATTGTCATTTAAAAAATCTTACTTTCTTACCTTTAAAGTCTACTTCTCCATTCCCATCTGTGTCAAATATATCTATTACTCGTTGTACCAAAGGATTCTGTTGTAATTCAGGCAGAGACATGAACTCCTCCACACTCAATGAACCAGAATTGTCCAAATCAAGTTTCTTAAATCTCTTTCCTAGCCTTTTAATTTCATCAGCATCAACTAAAAGAAAACAAAAATAGCAAGATTACGAAGAATGATTTTATGATGTTCATGGGGAAAAAAATCCAGCGCTGATACTATAATTTCCAATTTAATCAAGAGTCAAACACTGTTGATAAATCTCTTCTTCTAATAAAGAAAATGCACAATAAATATTTCTATCAGTTACCTTTCTGTTTGTATGTACCTGCCATAATACACACCAAACTGTTTGCTAAGTGCCAAGATAATCCAGGACAACACTAAGCTGATCATGGAGGTCACACAAGATATTCCAGTACTGCGGATGCTAAGCTGATCACAGAGGTCCTACTAGATAGGCTGAATCAACCTCTCTTCTGTTCCTAAGCACTTGCACTTCATTTTTCTTTCTGAAATTTAATTCACTTTATCTCCAATAGTTCATAGTTCAGAGCACACGGAACATTCAAGTTTCCCTCCCATTCCAGTTCTGTTCCTTGAATACAATATTGCCAGTTACTTGAATGTTTTTCCAAAGATACCTTCTGCAAGCATAAGCAAGTAAAACATGAGTTTCAGACTCAACCAAAGACATCAAAAAGTAAACAGCATTTTCAACACTTTAAAAAAGGGGCAGGGGAATAAACAATTTAAAAAATGTGTGCATTAGTAAGTACGCAATAAAAATTCAGAATAAGACCTCTTATAATATATATTCTTGAAAAAGATTTAAGTCATTTTATTCTAAAATAGACCATTTTCAGGCTTTCAAAATCAGACTAATCCACATAAATAACTGATCATGGCTTAACAGAAATAACCCTTAGAAATAATTTAATCCAGGGGCCAGTGCTGTGGCGCAGGTTAATATTCTGGCCTGAAGCGCCGGCATCCCATATGGGCGCCGGTTCTAGTCCCGGCTGCTCCTCTTCTGATTCAGCTCTCTGCTATGGCCTGGGAAAGCAACAGAAGATGGCCAAAGTCCTTGGGCCTCTACACCCACATTGGAGACCCAGAAGAAGCTCCTGGCTCCTAGCTTTGGATCGGCGCAGCTCCGGCTGTTGTGGCCAACGAGGGAGTGAACAGCGGATGGAAGACCTCTCTTTCTCTCTGCCTCTTCTCTCTGTGTAACTCTGTGACTTTCAAATAAATAAATAAATAAATAAAATCTAAAATAAATAAATAATTTAATGCAATATAAACCACATATATCCTTAAATAAAGTGTTATAATAACAAAACTGATTTTTCCATGTTATATTGCCTGTGCAGATATATGTATTATGGCCCATATCACTGGAAATGAGACAATACATTGTTTCAGCTGCTTCAATATGAAGATACTTCAAAAGGTTGATAGAAAAACAAAAATTAAGCTTATATTGGTGTAGAAAATCTTGAAATCCATGCACTTCTCTAATAATATACATTTTCCATGAACTGTCTGAAGACCCCACACATATGGCATCTCATTTTAAAATAAAATATTGAATATTTTAGGTAATGTATTGAGTACCTGTATGTAAAAAACAATGGCAATACAGTCAGCGCTGTGGAATATTTGTTTACCCTTGTCATGGGCCTGGCAGGGGGCTGGGGCTCACTGCTGCTGTTCAGCAGCTTACGAGCATCGCATCACTTAACCCAGGAACAGAGCAAAATTAGAAGTAGTTTCTGCTGAATGCTTATTGCTTTTATACCATTATAAAGTTAAAAACTTAAATCACAGTAAGGTATGAGGGAGCAAGTTTTCTTTATATTAAATAGAAAGTCTTAATAGATGAAGGTGTAAGAAAAAACTGAATACAAAAAGTGCCTTTAAAAAAATTTATTTTATTTATTTGAAAGACAGAGAGGCAGAGACAGAGAGAGGTCTCCTCAGATGGCCACAACAGACGGAGTTGCGCCAACCAGAAGCCAGGAAGGAGCCAGGAGCTTCTTCTAGGTCTCCCACGTGGGTGCAGGGGCCCAAGGACTTGGGCCATCTTCCACTGCTTTTCCAGGCCACAGCAGAGAGCTGGATTGGAAGAGGAGCAGCCGCGACTAGAACCAGCGCCCATATGGGATGCCGGCGCTTCAGGCCAGGGCATCAACCCGCTACACCACAGCGTCAGCCCCTAAAGTGCCTTCTTTTGTATTTTTTTTAATTTTTTGACAAGCAGAGTGGACAGTGAGAGAGAGACAGAGAGAAAGGTCTTCCTTTACCGTTGGTTCACCCTCCAACGGCCACCGCGGCCAGTGCGCTGCGGCCGGTGCACTGCGCTGATCCAAAGGCAGGAGCCAGGTGCTTCCTCCTGGTCTCCCATGCGGGTGCAGGCCCAAAGCACTTAGGCCATCCTCCACTGCACTCCCGGGCCACAGCATAGAGCTGGACTGGAAGAGGGGCAACCGGGACAGAATCCGGCACCCCGACCGGGACTAGAACCCGGGGTGCTGGCGCCACAGGCGGAGGATTAGCCTATTGAGCTGCGGCGCCGGCCAAAAGTGCCTTCTTTCTGAGAAAGTAACAGCTAGTTTAGTGGATTCAAGAACCAAGAGGCTTTCAAACATTACTATCTGCTGAAAACTACCGGTGTAGAAGAGTTGCAAAGATAAAATTTCTTATTTTTACCCTACCTTCCCCCTCAAAACAAAAACAAAAACAAAAACACAAAAACACAAAAACATGATTAATAAAAGCAGATACATACCGGCTCATCAATTTTTACAAAATTGCCCCCCCCCCTTTTTTTTACTGATGTCTCCTTTATTTTTCCTTCCCCATAAAATTCGTTTCTACGGAAGCAAATGAATTCAAGAAACTACCTCAAAATATGAAGCACAAGCTCCAGTTTAAAGCTTGTTAAGTGATAGGCTATGGTGCTTAATATGTGTCAGAATTAATTTTGCTCTTAATATTTTCAAGATGGTTTATTTTAGTACTCTGTCTACCTTATCCATGTTTTCCCCAGACCTGTGAGTTTGGCTATTTATTTATTTATTTATTTTTTTTCTAAGAGGCAAAGAGACAAAAGCAGTCAGAGAGATTATTATTGATTGGTTTATTCCCCAAATGCCAGCATGGCTAGGCTCGGGCTAGGCTGGGAGTCAGTACTGTCATCTAGGTCTCCTACATAGATGGCAGGGACCCAACCACTTGACCTGTCCCCTTGCTGCCTCCAGAGTCAGCACATTAACAGGAAGCTAGCCGGCGCAGCGGCTCACTAGGCTAATCCTCCGCCTGCGGTGCCGGCACTCCAGGTTCTAGTCCCGGTTGGGGCGCCGGTCCTGTTCCGGTTGCTCCTCTTCTTTCTCTCTCTCTCTCTAACTCTGCCTGCCAAAAACAAAAACAAAAACAAAAACAAAAACAAAAAAAAAAAAAGAAAGAAATCCCAAGTCCTCTCCCTCCCTTTTACATAAAAATCCACTTCTGACGTGTCAGTTGGGAAGGAAGACCTTTCTCTCTCTCTCTCTCTCTCTCTCTCTCTCTCTCTCTCTCTCTCTCTCTCTCTCAAAAAACAAAACAAATTAAAACAAAAACAGGAATCTGGATTTGGGAGCTAGAGCCAAGACTCAAACCCAGGTTTCTCCAGTGAGGACAACTTAACAGGTAGGCCAAACACCCACCCCAGCCTTTGAGGTTTTTCAGGAGCACATATTTTGAACTGTATCATAAATATCGTTACATTGCTCTAATGAAAGCAACACACACACATGTACTTAAAATAATTTATTCAAAAATTCAAATATACATTTCACGAACACAACACTGAAAATTTTTCAACCTTATATTACAGATCATTTCTTCTTTAATGAAATAGATAAAAATAAAGTGTTACAAGAAATGCAATTTCTCCATTTTCTATAATGAAATTAGATGGCCTTACTCTTGGGATGGGGTATAGGAGGGCTAATGCAATAAAAATACTACAAAATTTTTTGCTGTTGCTTATTCATTTACGTGTATCCTCTACCTCAAAGCAGAAGCTACAACCTTTTTCACTGGTGTTCTGCACAATACATTTAATAGATGTTCAATACATGTTAAGCGAATATTAATAAGTGTTTTATATTCCAAAATTACTAATCAAATGTATCGATATTGAACATAAAACTCTGCTTATCTAACCTGACACCAGTCAGTCAAGCATTCAGAGGAGTTTCTCAAAGTTAATAATATTAGCCAAACAGGGACCCAGTCCATAATTAATTTCACATGTATATATTGGTGAACTATTTTCTTTTTGCCATCGTAGTTTTGCCTCAGTTTGCAGAAAAGGTGGTGGTGGTGGGGGAATTGGAACATAAAATCACTAAAGTGTATTATAAGTAGAAAAGGAAAGACAATGCCTCTCCAAACAGTAAGTGGATCATTTCCTCTAGAGTATATCATTAATAGAGAGAAATCAGAAATGTAGCACCATAATATTTAGGGAAAATATCAGATTCTACTTACTGAGGCTGAGACATGAGCAGTAGTTTAAAAAGTTGAAATTGAGGCACCTGAAGGATTACATTTAAGTTCAGGAAGACATCATTCCACAGTCTTCATGAATGAGTAACAGTAATAATATTGGGGAATACTATAGAGGGATTATAAGTCACCAAATAAAGATACTTAGGTGAACCCACCCTTCTTCACAGCTGCCAAAGATAATCTCTCTACACGGTAAATTCAGCCGAACTGCTAGTTCCTGTGCTTAATTGTCTAGTGGATTCCTTATGTAAACAGGATAAAGTCTAAAGCCCTAGATATTATTTAGCCTCCATTTAACTTCCCACCTTATCTTTTCCCCATTTTACTACAGAATAAATTCTATAACTCAATTTCCCTATAACCCCTTTGCTGGAATGTCCTTGCCTGCACTTGCCACTTTTAAGACTCCTAATGATTTTTCTCAGATCAAACAGAGGGGTCTTATTAATAACCATGTATTTTATAGTTGTAATATTAACTCATTCTGTGGCAAAAGCCATTAAAATAATATTTCAAATCTATTTTCTTCCTTTTGCTTTAAATACCTTAGAAATACTGCAATATTATTGATAGCTGTTCTGGAT